CATCAGGAATCCTAGCTAGGTGTGAACATGTCAGGATCCACCATTGTCCTAGTAACAAACTAGTCGCATGGTGGCAATCTTACTCTGATCCACAAAGGTAGCGAGTGCATGTGGTGGTGACGACCTGGGGCAGACTATGACTAGGCTGACCTTGGAACTCCAGGAGACTACAATGGCTAAAACAACAAAATTCCGAAAAAAAGGGGTTATGCTGCAGCCCGCACAACCAATAAACACGGGCCATCCAAGTTTCCTTGTGGGTATTAAACGATGAAAACATAAAACCCTCGGCGCTGAGAAAGTATTGACGGATGCGCCATGCATTCAACTTCATTAAGCATCGTTAGAGGTGAATGAATGCATATGTAGCCTATAAAACGACTCAAAGTGGCTAACCGATGCATCGAGTCAGTATTGTTATTCCCCCAGACAAGTTTGGTTACAATTTGCCGATCCCAGAGAGTGGAAGGCTTGGTGAGGCTGGGGCGTGGGATCGATCCCATGTATAACAAACATCTATCCATTTTTCCACATCATAACTGGTGAAATCAACAAAAGCGAGTTTACCTTGGAATGGCCTAACCAATGTTAACCAGAGTTTCTGAGCAAAAATCAACAGCACTTATATTATTCTCTTCACTAAAAGCAACTATTTCATCGGTCGTACAATTATTTAAATTGATAGTGACGTCATTTATAACATGAAACATGGCAAGATTTGAGTTATAAGAAACTTGAAACACTAAAGAAAAAACAGGGAAATATAGCTGTGTGATGAAAGTTTATTTCAACCACCGTTTAATCGGTCTGAAATATCGATATTTTGATCTAATCGCACAAAGTATAGCTAGTGAAGCAGGTCTAACTTCCTATTCTATTTGATAACCACTTTCTCAATGCCGCGTGTATCGCAGTAGTTAGAGGCGCCTTGCAATACACACTGGATCGATCCCCGCGCCCTAGGCGCACCAAGCCCTTAATCCCCCGGGGTCGGTAAATTGGTACCAGGCTTGTGTGGAAGGTTAACAGCACTGGCTCGATACATCGGTAGGCCACCGCGAGTCATTGTAAAGGCCAGATAAGCATTCAATCACCCGCAACGATGCTCAATGAAGCCGAATGCATGACGCATCCCTCAGTGATTAATCAACGCCAAAAGCTTTATCCTATTTGTCCTTTAACCACTTCTTTCTCTCTTTCTCCTATTTTTTTCCCACTGCTTAGTAATATCAATAGAAGTATGAATATGACTGATTCATCAGGTTCAATGCCATGCCAACTGCATGCATGCGCGATGTAGTTGAATGGGCTTCGACGGGTGCTAACAAAAGATGAATCAGGCAAGAATATAATGGCTTCGGGACAATGAAACCAGTGGCAAATATCCAACAAAACCACAAAATTGCAAAGACATATACCTTTACAGCAACTGAAATCCTACTATATAAAATATAGTACGACAGTACTTTCCAACGGTTTACAGCCTCATCGCAGTTGGGTGTTCCTGAGTATCGGACTGCGATGTACCGCGCGGGATTCATCCCTTGGCAGGGTCTTCCAAGCTGAGAAGGAGTCCGGCGTTACCATCAGGCAGCCTAGCTGAGAGTAAACCAATACCAAGATCCACCGCTGTCCCAGTAACAAAGTTGCATGGTATCCCTTTGATCCAAAAGGGCTGCAACTGCCTGTGGTGGTGAAGACCCGGGGCAGACTTTGGCCATGCTGACCTCGGGATTCCAAGGAACCACAATGGCTTAACCAGCAAATCTCCGAAGAATGGAGAGATTATGCTGAGGCCGGCACAACCAGTTAGGACGGGCCATTCAAGTGTCAAGTGTCAAGTACAACAGTAAGACAAAGAACTCACAGATGGGATTATTTTTGAAACACACCACCACCATGGATGGCGAATGTAAGATTTTCTGGGATCCAAGCTACTCGTAACGATAGACCATTCAAGTATCCAAATAATTATTGTAAGGAATAGTAAAGAAGAAGTTTCATTAGAATAAACGAAACTGCTGGATCTCGGTATTCGCGTGCACTTTTCACCTCCGATTTTTGACATTGTGAGAATGTGCGGATCCTAGCGCAGGAATCGAAAACATCAACGCGCAAAACTCTTGAGGAGTTGTGGATAAATTTCAAAAATTCAAGGACGAACCGGAAAGACGAATGCTCCACTATCACATGTGACCTGGCGCCCTATTCCAAAACGATATTTTGACCCCGCGGTGTGTCTCGCTCGCGACCTTACGTAAGCAACGCGTGGGCCAGTCCCACTCGTAACATCACGGTGGGTAGCCTTTTTGATCAATACGGTATTTATTTGAAAGTTTGGTCTTCATTAATGCTATAAATACTTCAACGAATGTAAGGCTACTGTTACAAAAAATACGTCCAGGATCTGATGAAGACAAAATCGCCGAAAGGTCAGCCATCAACCAACAACACCAGCAACAACGGCAACGAAAGCCTATACCAGTCTCGCATCAGCTCAAAAACATCAGTTTATAAGATCATATAAATAAATAAATCATACTTCAGTTATGGGTGTGAACAGTTAGAATTCTTCTATAGACAAAGAGACAATCGGAAAAATCCGGATTAGCAGAGCATAAACACTCAAAATATAATTGTAAAGAAAAGAAAACAAAAGCCAACGAAAAAAAAACTCAAATAAAGTTGAAAAAATGAAAAATGACCTTAGTATTACCGGTAAAACGCTGAACAATCTTCCTATTTCGAAACCGACCTTCCCTAAACCTCGGTGTAACAAATCAATATGTATTCTTTCTTGATAAGCTTGCACGAGGTTGATAAATATATTTATTTTCGGCTAACGTTTCGACGTCTTCGTCTTCCTCAGAGCCGGTGATCCGAGTCGATGGTCTATGCTTGTTGTTCGCCTCGACGTTGCGTCTTCGCCTTCCTGTCGAGCCAGATCTTCCTCAGCGAGCCATCTTCTCGAATGAGGCATCCTCACTCAGTGATGCTCTTTTATACACGATGCTGATGGTGGATATATAATGATAATGTCCGGTGGTAACAGCTTGTATTTCTTCCGGGCATACATCGTTGCGCACATCGTGCAGAAGTCGGTGTTTTTATCAGCTAGCACAAAGCGTAGTAATAATATTTCGAAACCGACTTTCTCTAAACCTCGGTGTGACTAATCAATATGTATTCTTTCTTGATGAGCTTGGAAAATCTGGACCAGCTCTGCCAAGAAAGAATACATATTGATTATGTATTATTTCTTGATAAGCTTGCACGAGGTTGATAAATATATTTATTTATTTTCGGCTAACGTTTCGACGTCTTCGTCTTCCTCAGAGCCGGAAACATATTGATTAGTCACACCGAGGTTTAGGGAAGGTCAGTTTCGAAATATTACTACGCTTTGTGCTAGCTGATAATACACCGACCTCTGCACGATGTGCGCAATGATGTATGTCCGGAAGAAATACAAGTTGTTACCACCGGACATTGTCATTATATATCTACCATCAGCATCGTGTATAAAAGGGCATCACTGAGTGAGGATGCCTCATTCGAGAAGATGGCTCGCTGAGGAAGATCTGGCTCGACAGCAAGGCGAAGACGCAACGTCGAGGCGAACAACAAGCATGGACCATCGACTCGGATCACCGGCTCTGAGGAAGACGAAGACGTCGAAACGTTAGCCGAAAATAAATATATTTATCAACCTCGTGCAAGCTTATCAAGAAAGAATACATATTAATCTTCCTATTGTTTGCTGAAGGATAACCGTGTTGTATAAAAATAACGTGGTTCGTTGGATACCAACATCAATTGTGTGTTAGTTTCGCTGGATATCGCTTCGCAAGTAGAACAAACCAGCTTTAAACACAACTATGCCATTTTCTGATATCATTTATGCTGAATCGAGAAATTAAAGTGGACAAAAGTGTGTCAACTTACATAGGTAAGATTAAACGGCTGAAAAACTTACCAGTACTTTCTTCTTCTTCAAAGAACGGATTGACAGAAGCCCCGCAAGAGCGATGGCGTAGCCACGATTTCGAAAAAAAAGAAGAAATTGAATAAGACGTCTAGAATAACAATGACTTAATAAACTAATGCAACAGTTGTAATATATCTATGCGGTTCTATTCATCTGCAACTACTCAAACTCGACAATCGCTTAACAGTATAGTAAGAAAGGAAGAAATTTTTATAAAGAATGAGCTAGTGAAAATCCACATACTGATCTCAGAACTTACTCGATTCCGTTTTCCTAGAAAAGCGTTCTTCGCAAAGGAAGCCAAACCGTGAGGGTAAACGAGCTATCGACGTCATTCGCGGATTGTAAACATTTTAAATTCTGAAAGTACAGCAATTTTTGACACCGTTTAACAATTCCTCTTCAATGCTAAGATTGCTAGAGCATTATAATACTACCTCTGTTCTGTCTACCATAATCCTTTGTCCGCTGCTTGTTTTTTTCACCATTTTTCAACTACTGCCTCCTTATTGAAGAAGATCAATAGATTTGAACTAAAGAGCTTTCAATTATCCACCAACTAGCACTTTTTTCCAAATGTTTCCTTCATACAATGTAATTATGAAGATCGACGTTCTTCAAAAAAGAGTAAACGATAAGTTCTTCTTTGTTAAAAAGTACTGTAACTTCTCTCCCTCCTCAGACAGGAGCGCTCATTGTTCATTTGACGATTTTTACACTAATAACGCCAAAAGGCGCACTTGCTCCAATAGAAGCAAGCCTGTGACCGCTCATTTTTTTTTCGAACAGATGACGATAACAAAAATTGAAGCGATTGGGAGAGAAAGGCTTGGAATGATTGAAGGAAGTGGCGAAAGAGAGACAGAGACAGGGAGAGAGAGAGAGAGAGAGAAGGATAATCCCCCCGTCGATGATGAACAAGGCGAGAGATTCCGGGGCATTGTCCATTCTGGTCATGATCTGGTCGAACACGTTCTATGTTTCGCTCTCGAAACTCGTCAATTCATTACTTATGTCGCCACTGCTGTTCTTGATTGCGATTCTTCCGCTAACTTCATGTCAACTTCTGGAAATATTCGGCCTGTCTACTGGTGACGCGGGCACCGTCGATCGTCAACCATTTCATGATCTTGCAAGGTTTGACAATATAACACCGAATAATGTAGCGTTTATCTGATTATCCTAACCACATATCATTACCATCGGAATCGTTCGCTCGTTCGTTTTTCTTTTTTCTCATTTTCAGTCAATCTGTTGGACTCATCAACTATCTGCAGACCGTTCAGCGCAATCCCAACAATCAATTGGCGAAAAAGTGTGTCAGAGAAACGAGAACATGAAATGAGGGGTGAGAGTAGTGGTGAGAATGAATATGAGGGAAGGAAGCCGAGAGAAGAAAAAAGCCGAAATTTTTCGAGGATTTCAAGGTATTTCAAGGGAGTAAAGGTACAACACTAAGAAACAATAGAAAGACGTGCTAACAAAAACATTCACTTTCTGAAACTAGCATGTTCCAACGATGTTCAGCGATGATAGTTCAAAATAAGGAAATAAGCAAAGCATGATAGATAGTTCGGCTTTACAGTTTTATTTCAATAAAGTCATAAAATGGTGAAAATCCCTATATGTTCTGGGTTACGCGAGCCACTTCCTGTAGTGAACTTCATGGAAGGAATACCAGTATTACCAGGAGTTATGGGCAGTTTACCGGGTGCCGGATCATGCTTACCACGTGGATCACCTCTCGTTCGCGATAAGTAAGACTTTTTACCTTTTTGTGTTGATTTTGTGAGATTGCTTGAGTGTTCTTATCTTTAGCAACACTATCATTTACTTGGATACTGTTGGAAATTTCAGATCGCCAAGTTTCTTCCAGAATATTCTACGGAATATACCGGGAGCACATGATTACTTAGCAAGTCTATTACCATCACCTAAAGTAGATATCGATGCGCTTCTAGGAAAATATCACTGGGTAAGAATGATCGAATAGCAGATTTAGGGGAATCCTTTTACTATGGAGTAACAGACATAAATCAACTAGCTATTACTATACTTGTGTAGAATAATATGAACAAGTGAGAAATTGTTACTAAAACGGCAATATTACCATTGTTACTATTCTTATTGTTAATACTTGAGTTTTGACACTTGAATGGCGCATCCTCACTGGTTGTGCGGGCCCCAGCATAACCTCCCGGAAATTTGCTGGTTAAGCCATTTTGGTTCCCTGGAATCCCGAGGTCAGGCTGGCCAAAATCCGCCCCAGGTCTTCACCACCACAGGCAGTCACAGCCTTTGTGGATCAGAGCGACATTTGTCACCATGCGACTTTGATACCAGGACGGTGGTGGATCTTGTTATTGTTAATAAAGGATAAAGGATAAAGCTTCCTGCGTTAATCGATCATGGAGGGATGCGCCATGCATTCGAATTCATTAAGTATCGTTGGAGGTGATTAAATGCATATCAGGCTTTTACAATGGCTTGCCCACGGAGGTCGCTCATATGAGGGATCACCAGCAGGTTAGTTGCAAGGCTACGTGGCTCGTCCCCAGGTGGCGCATAAAGGGTTAATCGCGAACCAAAAGCGACGGTATGTTCCTTTGAGAAGCAGGTGGATCCAGGAGATGGACTCCCTGTTTCCTCTGCGCCGATTTCGCACATACTCTCTGTATTTACGAGGCGTATTCACGCACACGTGTGTGGGTACGTTCAAGCTTATGCGAATTGTATACTGCGAGTCAATTCGGCCAAAAGGATGCAATCAAGTGACAGGGAAATATATGAGAGGCGGTTAGGAGTCACCTACAACAAATAGGCTCCATGTCCACTCCGGGAGAGACTGGCAAGCTACCTATGAGTATACCTAGCCCCACGTTCAGAGCCCAGCTATACGTGGATATCAAAATGCTAAACGCGGTAAAAAAAAGGGGCCTCACTCCCCTGACCCCAAACCAGCCCCCCAATTCGGCAGCGTTGGGTAGGACGAGTACAGAAAGGCTGCTAAAAACTCAGGGCCACGGAAGCCGCCTGTCACGGTGAACTAAGGTGACGATCTGTATCTACAATACACGTACACTTGTATCCTAGTCCTCGATAGAAGACTTGCTCACGCAAGCAAGAAGGATAAGGTATGACGTCATCGGCTTGGCCGAGACGAGACGACGCCACCAATTCAACACCGTATATGACACCGGAGAACAAGGGTTCCTCGCAAATGCGAGAGTAGAGGAGTCGGCGGTGCCGGAGTTCTCGTCGACACGAGTTTGTCCATGCGCATCGATTCATTCGAAAAACTAAAAATCCGAATCGGACGTTTACCATTAAAAAGATGTGGATCAATACCGGCTTCGACAATCTTCGTCGTTTACGTGCTCAAATCAAACTATGACGAAGAAGAAATCGAAGCGTTCTACATGGACCTGGAGAAGTTCTACAGAGAAGACCATACATTTTCCAAGGTCATCATTGGAAATTTTAACCCCGAGATTGGACCAAGAAGAACGTCTTAAGAACGTCACATTGAGACCGAAGGATTAGAATGGAACGAACAGAGTGAGCTGCTGTCTGAGTTTATCACGGCGACCAAGACAATGGTAACATGGTAACTCGCAATTGCAAAAGCCCCATCTTCAGCGCTGGACGTGGGAGTCTCCCAGTGGAGAGTACCATAACGAAATAGACCGCACCATAGTAAACCGAAGGTTTTGCCTAACCGACCCGGAAAACAGAAAAAACCGCTAAATTCGGAATCCTAAACAGGACTGACAGAACACTGGACGAAGGGCAGCCATGTGAGCAAGCATGGTTTCGAAAAGGATTTAGTACGATGGACGACATCCACACGATAACGAGACTCATTGAAGTATCGCGAGAGTACAATACGCCGCTCTACGAGAATACGATTTTGGCTCAATTGAGATAGAAGCAGCCATGGAAGACTCAAGTAGTCTCTGCTCATTACATAAAGATTCTTCGTGAGCTGTACAAAAACTTCACAACCAAGATGTCACCATTCTACAACGATGTTAACATTGACATCAGAAGAGGGGTTGGGCAAGGTGATATCATCTCGCCGAAATTATTTACCACCACCCTCGAGGACGTCATGTGAACATTGGAATGGGATAATATGGAATACAAATCGATGGTCGGCAGTTACACCACCTTCGCTTTGCTGATGACATCGTCCTTATAACACCAAACATTAGCCAAGCGGAACGTATGCTCGTCGACATTTATAAAGCCTGTGGAAAGATTGGTCTTTGACTAAATCTCACAAATACGATGTTCATGAGGAACGGATTGGTTTCGTATGCCCCATTAACGCTCAACGGAACGAACATCTCCGAATGCTCCAGTTATTTCTACCTAGGTCGGAAAATCAATATAATGAACCACTTAGCTCCAGAGTTGGGAAGAAGGAAACGAGCGAATTGGGGAGCTTTCAACAACATCGATGAAGTAGTGAGGAGAATAAAGAACACCGGACTCCGTGCCCACGTTTTTGACTTAAAAACACTTTCTACGTTAACGTTTGCGTCAGATACCTGGTCGCTGTGTAAGAAGGATGAAAGTTCACTTAGCGTTTGAATTGACTCGAAACTCGAAAGGACGATGCTAGGATTATACCGTGTCGCGCAAGTAAGGGAAGGGATCTGAAGCTCCGACCTGCGTCAGCGATCAAAAATCAAAGATGCCGTTCTGTACGCCAAACAGTCGAAAACAAAGTGGGTCAGACACGTAATGCGTATGAATGACAACCGATGGACAAGAGCCGTTAGTGGCTGGATTCCTCGGGATGTCAAAGGCACTGCAGGAAAACCACCGATTCGATGGTCAGAGTTCTTTACGAAAAGCCTGGAAGAAAGATATAATGGACAACGAGTCCCTAGAGCGAGCAGAACCTATTGGACTACTTTTGCGCACGACAGGGAAAAATGGAAGATTTACTGGCGCCCGTTCGAGTCACTCGATCATCACCGGGGCTACAGGTGATAGAGGTGACACGATAACTCGCGCTTACCTACCGATGTATCTAGCCAGTGCTACTATATTCCCAGACAAGTCTGGTACGAAATTGTCGAGGGCCGAAAGGGTGGAAGGCTTGGTGGGCCATGGGCGCCGGGATCCATTCCACGTGTGTGTCGCAGTGGCGCCTCCAACCACTGCAGCACGCGCACCCTAGTATTGTTAATAGTAACATTGATACTACTACTTGTGGACTTCAGTGATTTGCATTGAAAACTATGCCTGAGATGAGATCCTAAAATAATTCCTATGTTTCTTGATAACTGACGATGCGTTAGGGAGAGGGGAATTTTTATGGATAACTCCGCAGTAAAACAATACATCAAGAAAAAGTCTAGCCATTCTCTCAGAACAGTAGCCTAGTGGCTCTGTCTAAAGTCAACTAAGCTTATATGGTGCAGGAATTCATTATCTCACAAGAAAAAATCCCCGCCAAAAACAAAAATCGGACAATCTTTTGGAAAAAAAATCATCTACATTACAGGCTATCGACACACCGTCAGTACACAATCGTTTCTGCGCAACAACAGAATGTAAGACGTTCCTATATAGTAAGAAAAAGAAAACATGATTTCCATCAAACAACAAAGTAAAATACTCATTATCTTTCTTAATATGCTCTTATAAAATGATCTTGTTGGGTTGATGCGAGGTTGGTGCAAGTTTCCGCTGTTCTTGTTGCCGCCGTTGTCGTTGTCGTTGTTGTAGTAGTTGTTGTTGTTGTTGGTCGATGGTTGACGTTTAGGGGAATTTGGCCTTCCTCAGGGCCTGGACTAATTTTATACAACAATAGTCCCAAAATTCGGTGAAAAGTCTGTAGTACTAACGAAAATCTAACACAAAATAACCGCCACATTGACCAAAAACTACTTGTATTTATGTAGCCACTAGCAAAGCTGGCACATTCTGATCAATATGGCATTCATTCACATGATAGGTCTTCATTAATACTATAGATTTTTCACGGAGTTATAAGACTATTATTACATAAAAAATGCCCAAGCTCTAAGGAAGGCGAAATTTCTGAAAAGTCAGCCATCGACACTCCAACAACACCAACAACAACACCGACAACAACAACAACAACACCAATAGCAGCAACAACAACACCAACAACAACACCAACAACAACAACGCCAATAACAACAACAACACCAGCAACAACAACAACACCAACAACAACAATAACAACACCAACGACAACAATAGCACGAACAGCAACAGCACCGACAACAACAACAACACCAACAACGACAACAAAGACAACAACAAAAAGAACAACAACAACGACGAGAACAAGAACACCAACAACAACAACAAAACTTTTACGAACCTTGCAACAGCTCAACAAGACCAGTTTGTAAGATCATGTAAATAAATATATCGATTATTTATGCCGAGACTTATAGAAAGTTGGTCTTCTGACTCTTATATCTTGCTCTGAACTTCAAAATCACGATTAGCACAGATAGATTAACATAAACTGATAAATGATGTCAATGAGGCTAAAGAAAAGAATAAATACAAGTCATTTTTTAATGATTTAGGAAGATGTCGCTTAGCACAGATAATAGGCGAACCTGTTACAGAACAGTTATCGACTATGACATACAAAAAAAAGATCCTCTGGCTAAGAATTGTGAAAAGTGTCACCGACACAATGACCAATTCTTTCAGTCCAACAAACGGCACAGGCCGGAAACACAACGTCATTTAGCCTACAAGAGAAATTTCGTACACAAAGCGAAGAAGGAGGCGAAAAGGTTGTTTTTCATGATCGGAATTCTAGAGAACAATTTTCATTCTCAAAACAGACATGCGATTTCTCAACGACATGGAAGAAATAGAATGTATAGAGCTCTCGGCGTTGATCAATATTTAAGGTGTGCGCCATACGTTCGACTTCATCAAGTATCACTAAGGTATGTAAACGCACACCTTGTCCTCATACAATGAACTGTGGTGTCCTACTGATGCATCAAGTCAGTATTGCTATCTTCTCAGACCTCTCTTGTACCGATTTGCCAACATCATTGTGATAGGGGCTCAGTAAACCCGAGATATGTAATGCTACCAACGACTACACGTATATTCCAGAACACCTCAAACCACCACTACCCTGAACGTGATAGCTAACGTAAGAAAAATTGCATTTTGGACGAATAGGAACATTTACAGGCTAACGCACTATGCGCGTTTAGCGTAGTGATTAGTGGTGCCTTACAATACGTACATAGTAGTTGGTTTGAGTCGGCACCTGGGGTAAATTAACTTCTCCACCTTTCCGGCTAAGCCGAAAAATAGGTACCAGACTTGACACTAAGCCTCCACAAATCGTCATATAGTCCAAATATGCATCCAGCCATGTCTGCGATGTTACCAATGGAGACGAATGCATGGCCAGTCCTTAAGTATCGAACAATGCCAGAACGCTTTATACTTCACCTTTTGTACTAGACTACCAAAGTTGGCTGCAGGTTTCGTCTCGTCTCGATCTCTCGCTTCCTCTTTAGACCCACTATTGGTAATTTGGTATACAATGTTAGAGGTTGTGCAATAAATAGGGACCAATCACAACTGCAATAATTTTCATCCTCACAATTTTCCACGATTTGAAAATATTTCTCAAACATGATCAGTTGAGGTAGCGTTCGGTTACGGTATACTTCATAAAGATCGCACTTACGTCTACATGCAGGATGACCCTTGTCCGTGTAAGTTGAATTCATCTGAAGAGCGCAATGTAATCAAGATTTAATGAAACTAAAATTTAAGTCCAGAAATAAAACCTGTCTGGAACGTAATATCCTGCAATAAGAAATTATTGTCGATAACTTTTGTAGAATATAGCGTTTCAATGACTGATGTAATGAAAATCTTTTCTGCTTTTTGGCTCTTCTGTAGTGTATGGCATGTGGTGCAATGCTGATCGTGACTACATCCTTTTCTTTGCTTTTCTTTCTCATTTCAACGCCATCTCGTCTACTGCTTTAATTACTTCCACACAGATCAAATTGTACTTGTCGGTCCACGTAACAACGGCAACGGTCAGTACGAATACGTTGTGCTGTCGAATTGGGCCAGATTTCCGTTGATTGGCCTAGTTCGTGATATTCGTGTATTCTACAATAAATACAAGGATCAACTTGAAACTGAGCTGGAGAAGGAAGGCTTCATCAACGACTATTCTGGGTAAGAACAACGAGAACATCATTTTCTTCATTCTCTTTCACTAAGATTTCCTGCTAGTTCTGCGTGTTTCACAATTTCCGAACTATTTTTTACAAACTATCCGTGAAAATCACTGTTTCGAAAAGATTCCAATTGATCTTAGGTTCAAAATAAATAAATACACTTACAATTTTCAATGCAGAAAAGTGTTGACAATATTTTGCACTCAGTAACACAAATAAATGTGTTTAGTATTTGCACGTTCAACCGCACTTAGCCGTTTTTCATTCCACTTCTCCGAATCCCGATTCTTGGCCAATCGACAATCCATATCTTATGGAATCGGGCACTTTTATATGTAACCATTTACTTTGCACAATCGTAATCCCAGTAATTATCGAGTGGCATCAGCAGGCGCTAGTAAACTAGTCAACTCGCGTAATGTTCCAGGGTTAGCCACTAAGGTCCGCTGGCTCGAAGGACACGGAAACCACTTTTGCCATTGAACTCATTTCTCACGCATTTTCGACGAAAATGGAGCTAGAGGTTATCCCGAATAAGGTGGCGTAAATGAAAGTGATAGTGTTGACGTTCATCACAAGCACGGTGCAGGTTTGTGTCCCAAACGAGCTCACTAAGCCTCCCTTCTCTCAAAGGTTGGTGTATTGGTACCACGCCCTAGCATGGCTATCCCAGGAGTTCAGGTAAAGTCGACTCGACCAGCATTCAGCATTCTTGACGAAGGTGAAATAATCCTTGCCGAAACCAAGAGCAGTTGTTCGAATTGAAGTCCTTGCCAATGCTGGGTGCGCGGAAACGACTCGAGTGGAAGAAGTGCTGGGATCTGCAGAGCAGTTGTGAAGACGGACCATGTAAAAAAGGTCCCGCATAGCCCCCCATGTATTTTGCAGTTGATATGAGGGATTTTGAAAGAGTTGCTATGCAATATACAACCTGCGTATACCTAAATACAACCCATTTATGCATGATTATGATCACCTGCGTACGGAAAATATTTTTTAAACAAGCATAGTATAGGTAACCTTCCCCCAGCGGATCTTGTTACAGATACAACCATTCAAATTAGAAGAAAATCACTTCTACAAAGCCACGATGGGACAGAGATACTCCTGCGTTAACTGCCTTAGGTATATAAGGAAAATCCTTTTGTTCGGAAAGACGAATAACTACTATTTGTGGAATGATGATAGGGTTAATGCCAGTTTATGGGAAATAACGAAACTTGGTTCGGAGTATAAACAATGCGGAAACACTCGTCCGTAAGTGTTTAAGCTTAGTGATCTAATCACAAAAGGACGTTGTTGCATATTTTCGCTCGTTTGATCACCCATAACCGAAATAATAAAACAATGCATCTACAACCAGTAAGAATCAGTTATCGGGTGAAGTCATCATTTATGCACTTCTCTCGATTTCAGACCCTTCACGAAACATTGTTCATTTCAGGTCATCCAACATCCATTATTCAGATTGGTCGAAATGTAGACCGGCTACGCCAGCAAGCTATATTCAAAACGTCCTTTCGGAATTGTTCGGCTAAAAGAACCTATTTTCCTTACTCCTGGTTGCAACCAATATTCGAGAGAAGCGATCTAATGGGACCTCGTGAACGTTTACACATAAAGTAAGAAATGTATTGATCACATTTTCAAACGACATGGTGCAATGAGTTCCGGCTAAATACTGTAGCTTTCTAGTCTTTTTTTTTGCGAACAGAACAAGAAACAATAAATGCCATACACAAAGTACATCACAATTTTTACAGTACGTATGTAAGACAGTACAAGTGAGACATGACAGACAGTAATACCATCGATAAAGCTTTTGAACAAAACTCAACCTATCAAAAGCACCTGCTGCGGTATAAACAGGTTTATTTCTATGACTTCATTTCCAGCTTGTTAGTACTGAATTACTTTGGTGGTATGAGGACGGAATTTGTAATTGGACACAGATTTTCATATCTCAAGCATTTACTGTGTATGACATAACCTGTTCTCAAGTATGTAAGTACATCACTAGATGATAAAGCTTCTTTGCACACCATACAGATGGTCTTATCCTTTATCTGAAAATGAAAACACATACGTAGGCCAGGCTTGAGAATGGGCACATTATGATGAAGTACAGAATAAAATATTTACTATGTGCTTACCACAATCTTATCGTTTGGCACTCTAAGCTTGTCTATTTCTATTCTTCTTTCTAGTAGACACATTTTAGATCTCATCATATGATGTTCCTTCTGCTTCTTCGCAATCGCTCGCTTCAAGAAGGATGCCACCTTAAAATACAAAAAAAAGGTTATAAACACATAAGAGATTACCTAATCTACCCTCAACTACTGGTGCGTGTAGTGCAGCGGCCGAAGGCGCCCCGTAATACACATGGGATCGATCCTTGCACCCCAGGCCCACAAAGCTCTCCATCACCCCGAAGTCGGAAAATTGGTACCAGACTTGTTGGGGAGCACAGTTGCACTGACTGAGGACATCGGCAGGTCACCGTGAGTCATTGTGAAGGACAGATATACATTCAATCACCTTCAGCGATGCATAACGAGGTCGAAGGCATGGCGCATTCCTATGGGATTGATCACCACCGAGAGTTTACTTTACAAGCGACTAATACCTTTTCATTACAGCTTTAATCAACTCCGTTTTCGAATTCAAGTGCTTTCAACTTTCTCTTTTTCAAGTTCATCTCCACCAGTGGACTTTCCTTACAAGTTAGCAGTGGACTGTTAAGTGAACAGCGTATTACTTTAACGACGAAACCTGGAGAAATTAGGACACATTGCCGACGACATGGCGAGATTAACATTAATACCATTCCATAATGTCGTTTTCAGTCACTCGGGTGCTCTTCATCAAAAAAACATAAGGTTAAGTGTTAAATCGAGCCTCGCTATTACGAAGGAAACCACTTGGAGTTCTGTAAAACACACCCGATAAGTTTTCCCAAAATGTAGTCGTGTGGAAGGAGTTACGCAGAATGATCAGAACTCATGTTCGTATGTGGACATAATGAAACCTGTTAGGTTTTTTTCGGGTGATTGCTGATGGCAAAAGATCGATAGAACTAGCTGAGAGGCAGGCGAAACGAAGGACCCGCGTGGTGTAGTGGTGGACGCGCTACTCCCCGGAAAGAACAATAGCGCGCTCGTTCCCCACCGCATACACCTGCGGTCCGGAGTTTTGCAAATATCTCAGCATCATTGAAGTTATATTTCACAATGTATACCCTGCCGTTAAAAAGAGTAGGCAGCAAATAATAAGTTAAAACCTGTTAGGCTTCATAAACACTTGTAGATTCTGTCAAAAAAAGATCGTCTCACAATGTAACCTGAGTCGGAAACCGCAAAGAGGCTTTATTTCCACGCCTTTGTGATAATGCAGTCCATCGAAGGCTGTATTTCCAACAAGGAACGAAGAACCGAGTGTAAAAACGACACGTGAGATTTGTAGTGGTGGACAAAGGGATTAGTGGAAAAGTAAGACTATCTCTCAAATATGAGCCTAAGAAGCCTGCAGTAACTGGTACCATGTTAAAGACAATACACTTATATTTAAGATTAAAATTCTAAAAAACCACAGAACCTGGTCAATTCCTGCTGATTCTGGTAACGCAGTAATGATCATCCTTGACTCAACACTGTCACCCATACATTTCAACAAGGAACACATTCGCGATTTAGCATCGTCGACGTCACTAAATTGAAAAGTTATATACGAATGAATAAAGAATGTGCAAAATAGATAGAGAAATAGAATGAAATATGGAATGTAACCTGTCCTCTAAGAATTTGAGAAGACGGAGGCACACATCGGGTTGCGTAGACGAGTAATGCGAACAGATTAATTCAGCAGCATCATAGTCACGATAAGTGACAACAACTTTCTCTAGAATATCAGCGGCAGATAGCTAAATCGGTGAAAAGTGCAGTCTCTTATCCGAAGATAATCCCAATAACTTTCATAATTTGTTAAGCAAATATTGGAATCCTGTTCCGATTAAAAAGATAGAACAAACGGCTACTTAGTCAACAAAGGATAAAAGGATAAAGCTCATGGAGTTGATGAATTCCTGAGGGATAAGCCATAAATTCAAGTTCACTAAGAATCCAACGCTGGAGGTCAAAGAATGCATATCTGACCTTTACAATGACTCGCGGAAGCCTACCGATGTATCGAGCCAGTGCTGTTTCTCTTCCAGACAAGTTTGGTACCAATTTGCCGACCCAGGAGGGATGGAAGGCATAGTGAGCTTTAGGAGCGGACAACGATCACATATGTATGGCAGAACGCCTCTGACCACTGCGCTTAATCACTAACATGAAGTAAACGACTACTTGAGCACACAGTTTTCCACAGTAGCCAACTAAAGTTTACGGCAATTATAGTAGGGCACTCCAAAACGAATTCGATCTTTACAATCAAATTCATATGTTCCTTAAATTCACAAAAAAAAACTCCTTAGTGAAGAGAAACCAACGCACACTACTGTCACAAAGCAAGCGTTCGACTCCATATTCCAAAGGAAGGCGATCATACATAACACATCGATCCGAAGCGCTAATGTTCATGAGCAGATGCCGAAAGCGATGACGGCAACTCAAATCTTCAATGAAAACCTTCATAAAAACATAAGCATTAATCTAATCTAAAGGAATAAAAGGAATAATCGAACTACCTCCAGCAACTATATCATTGACATAAATATTGCATAAGTCTTTTGTAACTTCGTCAGTGAGAGGAATCATTTCCAAATAAATACGAAGAAGCTTGGCATCACCACGAAGTACTTCCTTCATCGCTTTGTGATCCAACAATGAATTATCCACGGTAATCTTAAAACTAATACTGATGAATGGAGGAGGTTACTTATATGAACAACTATTCTCCATTGCCTTAGTAATCTGGTGTTACACCAGATTGCTTTGCAACTTGCGTGACATCTCCATCAACACCTATCTCAAAAAATTACTGACTTCATTAAACGGTGTAAACAATAGAGAAAATGTGGAGAAAAAAATACTAACCACAAGTTGCCAGTCAGAAATGGTGTGTAAAGAAGAAATGAAATGTGCCTTGAAACACAGCGAAGAAAGACAAGGAATGATACAATAAGATATGAGAGTGAAAGACATCCATACTTAATTGGATACTTGGATCTTCACTGATACATCTTCACTGATATGCGGATGCCAACACAACTCCCACTGCTTCTGAGTTTTGCCGGTTCAGCAATTGTGGTTCTCTAAAGTCACGAGGTCAACCAGGTCAAAGTCTGTCCAGAGTCGTTACCACGACAGGCAGTAGTCACCTTTGTGGATCAGAGGGAGGTTTGCCATCGTGCGACTAGTTTGATAACAGGACGGTGGTGGATCCTGGTATTCGTTTACTCTTAGTTTGGCTTCCTGATGGAAACGTAGGACACTTTCTCAGCTTGGAATACCCTGCTAGGGAAACAAATTCCCCTGAGGTAAAGCGCAGCCCGCCACCCAAGAACCCCTCTCAGCCACGATGAGGTGGAAAACCTTTGGGAGGAAAGACATCCATAAGAGGAAAGAGTTAGGTGACAGGACGATAATGCAGAAAGCAGTTAAGTAACAAAACACAAGTAGAAGAACTATCGCACAGGAAGCATACATACCTTGATACACTGTTTAGGTGAGAGCGGGATGAGCCACAACAGAACATCAAATAGAAGCTTTTTGTCGGTGACACTGAAGGAAAAACATTAAAAACATGTGGTATTCGAAAGCGGAAGTGCCGTAGGGCATGCCAAAGTCAATAGTTTGCAACACTGATTTAACGGTGCCAAACCAAGATTGAAGAGTAGTTCCTATTAAGAAAGATATGCTCGAATATTTGCGCTCCAGGCTCACCAGGCCTTCCAATCCTCCGGCGTCAGCAAATTGGTGCTAGATTTGTCTGGGAGGATAGCTACACTGGCTGGATACATCGGTAGGAAGCGCGAGTCATTGTAAACGCCAGATACGCATTCAATCATCTCCAACGATGCTTAATAAAGTCTAATGCACGGTGCATCCCTCAGAGATTGAACAATGCCGAGAGCTTAACTCTTTTATTTACTGCCTTTTTCTTCTTAATGGCAGGTTATGTTTCGAATTATAACTCGCATGAATTGCTGAGATATTTGCAAAACACCGGACGACAGGTGTATGCAGTGGGGAACGAACACGCGCTGTTGTCCTTACCGGGGAGCAGCGCACTTCACCACTACACCATCCGGGTCCTTCGTCTTGCCTGTGTTTCATCAGGAAGCCAAGCTAGGAGTAATCCAATACCAGTATCGACCACTGTCATGGTATCATATAAGTCCCATGCTGGCGAATCTCCCACTGTTCTGCAAGGCCGGCGACTGCCTTTCATGACGATGAGCTGGGGCAGATTTCGTCCTGGTTGACCACGAGATTCCAAGGACCCACAGCTGATAAACCAGCAACACTCCAAGAAACGGAAATTATGCTGGAGCCCGCGCAACCAGTGAAGACGGAGCATCGTATGCAGGCAAGTATGCCTAAACAATATACCAATGTCGTCATTCCAGCCACCATCTGTGAAAGGATAAAAGGATGAAGCTCTCGGCGTTGATCAATCTTTGAAGGATGCACCATGCATTCGACTTAATTGTTAGAGCTGATTGAATGCAAGTGTGGGCAATACAACTTCTTGCGGTGTCCTACCGGTGTATCGAGTCACTACTGTAATATCCTCCCAGAGAGGTCTGGTAGCAATTCGTCGCCTCCGGAGGGATGAAACGCTTGGTGAGCCTAGGGTGCAGGATCAATCCTTTGTATATTCTAGGAGCACCTCTAACCACTACGCTGCACGTGCCTTCCATCTGCATCACCTATAAGCTTTGTATTCACTAATTTAGCTTATTATTTACTGCCTGCTTTTTAACGGCAGAGTATGTACTGCGAAATATAACATTAATGATGCTGAGATATTTGCAAAACTCCGCACCGCAGGTGTATGCGGCGGCGAATGAACGCGCTATTGTCTTTTCCGGGGGGTAACGNGAGCCCGCGCAACCAGTGAAGACGGAGCATCGTATGCAGGCAAGTATGCCTAAACAATATACCAATGTCGTCATTCCAGCCACCATCTGTGAAAGGATAAAAGGATGAAGCTCTCGGCGTTGATCAATCTTTGAAGGATGCACCATGCATTCGACTTAATTGTTAGAGCTGATTGAATGCAAGTGTGGGCAATACAACTTCTTGCGGTGTCCTACCGGTGTATCGAGTCACTACTGTAATATCCTCCCAGAGAGGTCTGGTAGCAATTCGTCGCCTCCGGAGGGATGAAACGCTTGGTGAGCCTAGGGTGCAGGATCAATCCTTTGTATATTCTAGGAGCACCTCTAACCACTACGCTGCACGTGCCTTCCATCTGCATCACCTATAAGCTTTGTATTCACTAATTTAGCTTATTATTTACTGCCTGCTTTTTAACGGCAGAGTATGTACTGCGAAATATAACATTAATGATGCTGAGATATTTGCAAAACTCCGCACCGCAGGTGTATGCGGCGGCGAATGAACGCGCTATTGTCTTTTCCGGGGGGTAACGCGTTCACCACCACACCATGCGGGTCTTTAGTTTCGCCTGTCTCTCAGCTAGTTCTATCGATCTTTTGCCATCAGCAATCAGCCGTCAGCAGGATTTATCTGGGAGTTCAAATCGGCGGCGAACCCTAAGCTAAACTAACCAATCTTAAAATTGTGATTATAACTGCAGCCTCAGCTTAACTGGGTTCAATGCCGATTTGAGCTCTCCAGATAAATCCCTTAAACGGGTGATTGCTGATGGCAAGTCATCGATAAAACTACCTGAGAGACAGACGAAACGAAGGACCCGCATGGTGTGGTGGTGAACGCGTTGCTCCCCGGTAAGGACAACAGCGCGTGTTCGTTCCCCACTGCATACACCTGTGGTCCGGAGTTTTGCAAATATCTCGGCAATTCATACGAGTTATAATGCCGAGAGCTTTACCCTTCACTTTTTTGCCGAATGTAGAGCAATGGGCTAGGTCGTCATAAAAACAAATAGGATTACACCGAAAATAGAAATATGCACAAAATGGATATTAAATACTCACGATGGGATACGACCCACCACATCGTCAAGTTCGAATGTTGCGTCTTTAAACTCCCCGTAAGAGAGATGTCGCCAGATTTCCCAAGCCTTCGAACTCTCTCTTGCCAAGAGCCACATTTTCGCAGCACAGTGATAATATCCAAAAGACTGTAGGAATTCAGCACATTGCCGGTAATCTGGATTGTAATTATCAAGAGAGAACACAGCTTCTGGATTGCCTCGAATAGTAAAAAGCTTCAATAGGATAGAATCTACCACCTGAAAAAGGTTCTGTGAGATTTCCACTGCTTTGCGATAAACCGTCTTTAGTAATGAAATATCCGCAAAGTGTTAAAATAAAGGTGGGATACAATCTAACGAGGTTTCGTAATAAATAAACGGTAACCAACTGTGCGAGAAGAGATAATGAAGGGCAAGCCGCGAATCTGTTGTAGATAGTCCATAAGAAATTGGTAATTATCAGACCATGTAACAGTGCTTCCCCAAAAATCATTTGTTCCTTGTCGTTCAAAAAGGGAAATAACCTTAAGAAACATTACAGCATAACAAACTTCGCCAGAAAAAAGTGAGAAAATTGCGAGAAGTGCGACTGCAACAGGAAGTTATACTAACATTGCAGAACAGACCTCTTTTGGACTGACTTCAGTGGAAATGAGAAGATCAGCGACTTTTTCATATTTTCGGTCTTCTATATATTTAAATGCAATTTTCTTTTTTAATGCGACGAAATTCTGAAGAGGAGGAATAAATGTAATCATCGCAAAATCGCTAGTATGGGAACTGTTAACAATGTTAACTTTTCACCTACTGCCTACTACAATTCACGGCAGGGTATTATGTGAAATACAACCACAACGATGCTGAGATATTTGCAAAATTCCCGACAGGTGACTGCGATGAGAATCGAACACCTTATTATCCTTTCCGGAGATAACGCGTTCACCACCACGCCATACGGGTTCTTAGTTTCGCCTTTGCCTCAGCTAGTTTTCCATCGACCAGTGACGGGTGATTGCTGACAACGTGATTTCTGATGGCACTGGTGGATAGGAAACTAGCTGAGAGAAAGGCGAAACGAAAGACGCGCATAGTGTGGTGGTGAATGCGTCAGCCCCGAAAAGAGTAATGGCGCGTTCGTTTTTCACCGCATACACCTGCGGTCCGGAGTTTTAAAAATATCTGAGCACCATTGTGGCTGTTAACAATGTTAGATCAAATAATATTAGCTCCATACCAATAGGCATTCGGCATCGAAGTGCTTACGCAGCTTCTTCTCATACAAAGATATAGCCTCATCGAACTTACCATGCTCGAAGAGGGCATCAGCCTAGAGCAGTTGATATAGTCTAGTCTCTTCTTTTCTCAAGAAATAGAGAAAAACACAGAGATGCAAAAAACCGATGTTTCCACCCACCTGTTTCTCCACGGTTATCATACTAACTTCGTACAGAATGAAGTGACTAGAAACAAAAACTGAACCATCCAGTGAGCACAACACTCCAATTTCTGCAGCGTCAAGAGTCTGATACACACGTGAGTCTTCAAGGCTAAACAAGAAAACCGAAGAATTTGGTCTTCTGCTGAGATATTTTTTTAATTTTCACCACTATAATAACTCCCTACACGTTCATGAAATAACATTGGAAACATCTGACGATCTGATCTTAACTACTAGTTTCGTTAAAACAAAAGAATAAAACTCTCGGTCTTGAGCAATACCTGAGGGATGGGCCATGCATTCGACTTCATTAGGCACCGTTGGAGGTGATTGAATTCATATTTGGCTTTTACAATAAGTCGCGGTGGCCTGCTGATATATCGAACCAGTATTGCTGCTATTCTCCCAGACAAGTCTGGCACCAATTTGCCGATCCCAGAGTGATGAAAGACATGGTGACCTTGATGGGCAAGGACCGATCCCATGTGTATTGTGGGGTGCCTCCGACCAATGCGCAACACGAGTCCCAGAATCCGTTACAGCTACATAAAGCCACAAATATATTGAACACAATATTCGATATGTAACTTCCAACAAATACGCTCAGAAATATTGTACAGTAACATCAATTTAATGTAAGAGGCAACATTTCTAAAGAAATTACCTCATAATAGTTATTTCGCCCTTAGTGAAGAGGAAGATGTACGGAGAGCTGTACACTACACCATCAATCGAAAGCGACGGAAACAAAATTGGCGGACGCGTCGAAACTCCTTGTTCGGTCACAGAAATCAAAAGTCCGTCCATCCCGCTCACAAGAAATTCCTATTGTTCATTCGATTTAACTGCTGTATTTCAATTCCCACGACCGACTTTCTACTAAGCCCGACACTGATCAAATAATTCTTCATATTTTTGCTAAGCAAACATGAGATGTTATTCTACTCATTAATCTAAGAAAGTGGCGTTTCGGAGGATTTCCCTACTTGGTTATGGAAGTGTTTGTGGAAAACCCACTGCGCCACACGAGCCCTACTCAATATGGTTACCACATATATTCAACATACAAAGAATTTCATGCGCTAGCACGCTAGCGCTATGAAAGCTTAGAGTTCGAAAGTCATTAAGAGACGTCTGTCTCCAGAAACACTCCAGCTGATACGCCAGCGTGGAATCGTACGAGCTGCAAGCAACCGCGAACTGACGTTCGAACTTACAAAACAATGCACACAGGCGACACAAGAAGATCTTAAAGTGAGAAGAGCAGCAGTAATGGTCGAAGTTGCAGAGGCTGGGAAAAGCATTCGCAAAGTCCACTGAAGCTTCACCAATTGCAGGACCAAGGTGATTGCATTCCGGCGCTCAGACGGAACAGTTACAGCGTCCAGAAAGGCAATGGAGAAAATCATTCACGATTACTACTCGGATCTCTTCGATAGCCACGTACTCCATCCGTCATATGAAATAAATGAGGATGGATATGTTGTACCACCGGTTCTTCCTTCCGAAATCCGACATTCCATTTCGTCGGTGAAAAAAAGAACAGCAGCAGGACCGGACAGGATAAGACCAGAACAGCTGAAGAACTTTCCGTCAGTCCTCGTAAACACACTGGTTCGGCTCTTCATACGTTACCTGTCTGAATGCAAGGTTCATACTCAATGGAAGACCAGCAAGACCGTGTTATTGTTCAAGAAGGGTGACCTGCACGATTCATCGATTTACATAATTCCTTTGATTCAGTTGAGATAGAAGCAGCCCTGGAAGCCCGGAGTCGCTACTCAGTACATAAAGATTCTTCATGAGCTGCACAAAAATTTCACTACCAAGATATCACCATTCTACAACGATATTAACACTGACATGAAAAGAGGAGTTAGGCAAGGCGATACCATCTCGCCAAAACTATTCACCGCCACCCTCCAGAACGTCATGGGAACATTGGAATGGGATAATATGGGAGCAAAAACTGATGGCCGATAGTTACGCCATCTTCGCTTTGCTGATGACATCGTCCTTATAAGACTAAACATTAGCCAAGCGGAACGTATGCTTGACGACTTTGATAAAGCCTGTGGAAAGATTGGTCTTCGACTAAATCTCACAAAAACGATGTTCATGAGGAACGGATTAGTTTCACATGCCCCATTCACGCTCAACGGAACGAATATCTCCGAATACTCCAGTTGTATCTATCTACGTCGGGAAATCAATGTAATGAACGACCTAGCTCCAGAGCTGAGCAGAAGAAAACGAGTGGCTTGTGGAGCTTTCAAGAGCATCGAGCATGTAGTGAAAAAAACAAAGAACACCTGACTCCGTGCCCACCTTTTCGACTCAACGGTATTTTCTGCGTTAACGTGTGAGTCATAAACCTGATCGCTGCGTAAACAGGATGAAAACTCACTCAGCGTTATCGAACGCTCAGTCCAAAGGACGATGCTAGGAGTATCCCGTTCCACACAATTAAGGGATGATATCCGAAGCTCCGATCTGAGTCAACGATCAAAAATCAAAGATGCCGTTCTGTACGCCAAACAGTCGAAAACAAGGTGGGTCAGACACGTAATGCGTATGAATGACAACCGATGGACAAGAGCCGTTAGTGACTAGATTCCTCGGGATGTCAAACGTACTGCAGGAAGACTACCGACCCGATGGTCAGAGTTCTTCACAACGAGCCTTGAAGATAGTTATGATGTTCGACGAGTCCCTAGAGCGAGCAGAATCCTCTGGGCTACTCTTGCACGCGACAGGGAAGAAAGGAAGATTTACTGGTGGCCTCTGATACAGGTGACACAGGTGATACAGGTGATGAAGCAATTTTTAAAAAAAAGAAGCCATGCCTGATAATTGTTTTAAGAATTCATTCTTAAGCTGTGTTAAAAACTGTGTATTTTTCTTGGTATTGACTACTGTTGTACTATTCGACGGAAGAATAAGCTCTGAGTTAGTGAAGTATGAAAAAGAAGCAACTACATCGACAACCACTTCATTTACTAGAAACTGCACTAAAAATAGCGCTTTTAGGTATTTCAAGTGTAATAAGTCGCGTTTTTTGATCTGAAAAGTGCATCATACCAAATTAATACTGCAGATTTGTGGACGTATAGCCTGTGGATCAAATGGGAACAAAGAAATGATTGATTTTGTCGCTATATTGTATATACAGTACGTTCCATTTGACGCGAAGCAAACAGTGAATCTGGAAAAGGCTAACATTTTTCCTGAAATTACATCAAGGAACAACCTGCTCATGGAGTAACGAATAGCACAGAAAGTTGAATGATTGGAGATCCATAAAAAAAAGCAGCAATATACCGTGAAAATGACATCGCAGTCACATCCCCATCCGTATTCAGCTTTTGAAGTAATTCCATCTTACTGTTACGACGTTCGTAGATATGTAGCTGCTTAGGTGTTGTTGCAACTGCTATTTGTAGACAAAATGGATCATCAACTATCGGATTTGAATTTACAGCGGTGCATTGTACTGATGATCGACTTGAAACAACCTGTAAGGACTCACCAAGCAGGTTTAGAAAAATCTCGAAAACAACTTAAGGAAGATCTGTAGTTAGTACACATACTTACTTGAATACATAGACAACCCAACTTCAATGGTTGTGCGGACCTGAGCACAACTTCCCCTTTTCAGAGTTTTGCTGGTTTAGCCATTGTGGTTCGCTAGAATCTCGAGATCAGATTAGCTAAAGTCTGTCCCAGGTCGTCTGCACCACAGGCAGTCGCCGCCCTTGTGGATCAGAGGGAGATTTGCCACCATGCCACTAGTTCGATACCAGAACGGTGGCGGATCCTGGTATTGGCACTAGTTTACTCTCAGATAGGCTTCCTGATAGAAACGCAGGACTCCTTCTCAGCTTAGGGAGCCTTGTTGGGGGTATGAATCACCCCGCTGTACATCGCAGTCCGACATTTAGGACCACCTCCCAGCCACAATGAAGCGATAAACCGTTGGGTGTGATAAGCTCAAGGTAGGTTAGCTAGCACACTTGCGCTATTTAAAGCAATATCTGGTCCAAAAGTTGTCCCAAGCTTTATTAAAGCGTATACATATATTATCGTTCATGCTCGAAAACCTACCTGAAATGAATCGATTTCAATGTCGTATAAAACTCTGTGAGACAGTACCAGTAAGATTCCAAGCGCTGAAGCGAACTCAATTTGACGAATTTCCTGCTTCTAAACGGTAAATCTAAATATCAAGGAACAATTATAAAAGCATTTTAGACTGAAAATAACACTCCTACATTTGGTAGTTGAAATCTTCCAAGGACTAAGAAAGTATTATTGTCGTTCCTTAAGTGAAAAACACGACCATGATTGGTGCCCAGGAATACAACAGAAGAGGATCCTCCAATGGAACTAATCTAAATCTATTGTTGATCCAGTTATGCAAAAAATGACAATCTCATTCGCTATAACAAATAAAATGATCCAATTTAAATCACTAAATCGTACTCGCTCATCGGTGTTCAGTTGAGGTGTGACGTCACAGCGTATTTTCACCTCGAACAGATCGACATTCGGCAGATCTGTCATTGAATAGGGTTTCTAAAACACCAGAGTACTGACAAAAATCATTTAATAGTCATAGATGGATTGCATAGCATTAGATAACTATAACACAGCACGACGTCATTATTTTCATGCTACCACTGAACAAATTTGTAATTGTCACTAACAGATAACCTAATAGGGTGTGACGAAAAGTACGACCACTGTCAGAGATGCAAAGAAATAGTCTTCGTTCCATCACATTCTTCACGTTTATCTGGTTCAGAAGAAATCGATCAACACAGAAAACCGCTTCACTAGACCACAGTAATCACTAGTAGATGGGGTAGCGCAACGGTTAGTGATGCGATCCATCAGGAAGCCAGGTGTTGGTTCGACTCCATGCTTAACGCTCTTTCCAGTCCACGTAGGAACGCCCTAGTCCAGCTATCTCCAAGATTTCAAGGAGAAATGACTCGATCAACGTTCTACGACATTGATAAAAAAGACGAAATCCTGGAGTAGCAGCCGAAACGCGAACTGTTCGAAGACCTTTGTGGACGACGAATGCGAGGAAAAGGAATCGTATGCAGGATGTGGTGATATCCGAACAGCATAAGTTATGACGGTTCGTGTAAAATAAAAAAATAGTTGTAGCTAATGGCATATTTATTGGCGGAACAAGATCTAAATAAGCATTCTGGCAACAGTGAGCGGGATTCTGAGGAAACAGACGAACAATTCTAAATCAGTAGTGACCATACAGCGTTTATTGCTTTCCCAGACGCTGCTTATAAAAATACAACCTCTTATTCTACTAAAGTTTTAAGGATAGACAAAAGGATAAAGTTTTCGGAGTTAATCTATCCCTGAGGGATGCGACATGCATTCGATCAATAAGCACCGTTGGAGGTGATTGAATGCGCACCTGGTCTGACGGGCGAGTGTAGCGCAGTTGTCAGAGGCACCCTGCAATAAACGTGGGATCGATCCCTCCATCCCACCGAGGTCGGAAAATTGGTACCAGACCTGCCTGGGAGAATAGTAGCTGCATTCAATTACCTCCAACGATGCTTTATGCAGTCGAATGCACGGTGCATCGCTCAGCGATTGATGAACAGCGACAGCATCCTTCATGTTTTAGGGATACTCAAAACAAATCGTCACACTCAATACAACTTAGATTCCTTTCGTTCTCTAGCGATCGCCATCTGATGAAGTTCTCTACCTTGTGAATAGTGCTCTATGCATACATCATTTCTATAATTCAAATCCAGCTGCTACAATAAGCGACACTGTATCCACCAATCTTGTAGACTGACCAGTGCAGCGTCCAAACTGGTTATTCGAAAAAAAATTTCGGAATGCATAGCTAGTCCGTTAGCCAAGTATCAGTTGTACTGAAAAACACTGTAGAGTAGAATATGTCAAGCTGAATACGTAGATCTCTTAGTAGCTTACGTGGAAAGCTAAAAGTGGTCCAACTCCTCGTCAATTTTATCTTCAAATCTTCAAGCGTCCACTAATGCTTTTGCTATTTTTGTCAAAGTCGGGTAACATCATCATCCAATGATGAAAAGATATTTAAAAACATAAGTATGGAAAACAATGCCATGGCGATGAAGATATGATACGTCGGCTAGAGTTTTCGTATAAACGACCGCGTACATGAGGTTACGATGTAAAGTGTTTTTTACTAGCTATTAAAGGTGTCACATGCTAGCCTCGGAGATGCGATGAAAATACCTACTTTTTTAATGAGGTCGAACAGCAGAACTGCTTTCGACATACTGCTTTCTCCACTAGTTAGGTCTCATATCCGCAGCTGGACAACCACCACTGAAAGCCTGTGCACCAAATTTGTAGGGCTAACCCGACAGACGAAGGAGAAGGCGAGCACGCCTACGACACACCATGAGGACTACCTCTTGCAGTACACCTCTAACATCAGAACAGTATCTTCAGACGCCCAGCTCTACGCTCGTCCTGAGGCCACCGATTGCATCAAATTCTATGTGATCGCCCTGTAAGAGACGAAAATCAGAAAAAATGACATACGCCAGTTAGATCGCGGAACCCTTGTCAATAGTTGAGGAAACTTTCCGTCACGACACGTCGGAGGCGTCGGCTTCCTCGTACATCTATCCATTTCCCACCTACAAACTTCATACGAAATCTTTTCACAGCGCTTGGCCATTGCTCGTCTCCCACTTTGCGTAAAAAAAAAACGGTACAATCAAATGTTACCCATCAACTTGTACACCTGATGTGAGCAAACTAAATGCGTTTTATAAATGAATGGTAGCAGTAATCCACAACGAGAAACCCCTCAATAAATCCGTTGTCGGACAGTTCAACGCCAGATCAGGTGAGGTCATCGGAAATGAATTCAGAATAGGATGTTCAGAAAGGAAGAATGAAATCAGAATAAGCCTCTTGTAGGACTCATGTCCGCAATACAAGTTTTCCATCAGAATTCATTTTTCGAGAAGACACAAAATCGCCGACGGACATGGGAGTCTCCTAACGGTACGATTTATGCTGAGATCGATTGTATTCTCGCGAACAGAAGATGGTCTCTTCAACGTTTGAGTGATACCTTGCTTCTGTACTGGATTTGATAACCGCCACCTCAGTGTGAAGATTGGGTTCAGTCATAAGCTAGAAAAGAACTGTCATCGTACACGAAGAACGAAACAAGTCGTCTACGACGAGGATATTCTCAGCAAAATTCTCTCCTCATATGACTGGCAGAATAACGAAAACCCGACGGAGCAGTACGCGCTGCTTGTCGGACGTAAAACTTGTGCTGAATTCCTCTCATTTCCTCAAATAAGAAGTTCAGATCGCTGCTTCATAACCACCATGGAGTTATCCTAAAAGAGGAGAAAACTGAAGCTTGATACTATTGCAACACACCTAACACAGTTCATAATAAAAGCCAGTTGTAGAAGATCTTTGCAGGAGGATTTACATCAGTATAGGTAGAAACAGTTAATGGGAGGAGCTCAAAAATGATCCAGTCTGAAGAAGTACCGTCGGGATCTTTGCGACTTTAATGGTCCGCTATCCGTCTTGATGAGCGAAGATGACAGTATCACTACACTACGTCACGATATCGAATTGATAACGGGAAGGTTATATACCAGCCAATACCAGAATCCGCCAAAATCCTGGTACCAAAGTCGCAAGGTGGTGAATCTCCCTCTGATCCACAAGGGCTGCGAATGCCTGTCGTGGTGAAGACCTGGAGCTGACTTTGGCCAGGCTGACCTCGGGATTGCAGGAAACTACAATTTCTTAACCAGCAAATTCCCGAAAAATGGTGAATATGCTGAGGCCCGCACAACCAATGAGGACGAGCCGTTCAAGTATCCAGTATCAAGTAAATAAGGTTATATACCAACCCTTTTCGCTTCACAATCTCCGTCTCGGAACAAGAAATCCCGCTGGTGAAAAAACGCCCGGGATTCTACCCTCTGAATGCCATAAGCGATAGAAAGCATGAAGAGAGGCACTTCTCCACGACCCGATAATATCACCGTCAGAGCTGGTGGCCACAAATTCCATGTACTTCTAGCAACTCACATAACATCTTACGATCAGCAAGGGAAAATCACAGACCAGTGGAGAACCTCGCATATGATCATCATCACCGAAGAAATCTCCTCAGCCACCGTCCAAGATGCCTGCTTAGTGCAGTCTAAAGATGTTCATGAAGATTGTCCTTTTGCGCACATCGAAGACGTTCGATGAGGCATAATCAGTTGAACAATCAAGATTCGAGAGAGATTCTGCTGCGTGAACAACATTCAAACCGTATCACGGGTCACAGAAGTCTGTCAGCAATAGCATCTGGCGTTTGTCTTAACCTTTATCAACTACCAGAAAAGCGTTTGCCAACGTCGAAACGAATGAAAACCCTATTAGAGTTCGTCGACCAAGGCGTGGACTCATTCTATATACGAACACTATACACTATTATCGGAACAGCAGCACGAATATACTTTTTCATCGACCCCTCATCATACCAATGAAAAAAGGGCTTGGACTAGGCGACACAATATCGCCAAAGCTGTTTACTGCCGTGTTGGAGTGGATAATGAAGTCACTCCATTGAGACGATAAGGACGTAGGATCGTTGGTAAATTTCTCTAAAATCTTCGTTTGGCGGATGACATCATTATCTTTCCATCCATAGTTCGAAGATGAACAGATCAAACTGGATGGCTCTCCGATTATAGCAACTACCTCATACATGTACCTTGGACGTTGAATGAACATGAAGAACAATATGAAGGAGGAATTAGAAAAAAGAAAGGAGAATAGCAAGAGGTGCATTCGGGCCATTCGAAGAGGACGAGGTGCATTCGGGCCATTCGAAGAAGCCACCAACCAACTAACAAATCCAAAATCTGCGCTCACCTTTTCGATTCAACGCTCCTCCTAATGCTGCTATGTAACAGGGAAGTGGGCTAATACCTCAACCACCTCGAGATTACTGCGCAATGCACATAGAGCGCTTCAACGATGTATTCTGAAATTCAACCGGAAATCATAATGTCTACAAGAAATGCGCAGCTCGGATCTCCGAAACTTATCCCATTTACGATTTCCAGGAGGAATATACATCTATAGCGAAACATGGATGAGCCAATCACACAGTAATAAGAACACATGACAGATAAACGGAAAGAACAGTACAGTGGACTCCAAGAGAATGCAAACCTGCTATTGGAAGACCACCCAAATGATGGGTGGACGTGTTCGTGGTCAAAGTCAAGCATCCAAACTCGTAGACGGCAACGACTTCAAGATTATGGAAACAGTCTCGCAGATGTCACCATTTTCGAAGCAGACCATCGCTATGGACGACGATTGCGTGAGAGAAAAACGGATGAAAATTACGCTGGAGCCTCCATAATCAGTAAAGGCAGGCCATCCAAATATAGAGTATCAAGTAACCAGACTGCAAGATCTCCTCCGTCCAGCCTTTCCGGTAAAAGCCTTGGCTTGAAGTCCTCCACTATTTTGGGATCCTTTGCTCTAGAAAACATATTGTCATATGGATTGAGAGGAGATATATCCCACGGCACATACAAGAAACTTTCCCCCGTAACTTTGTTTATTACTGAAGCTGTATCTCTACTCTCTTGAACATAGACCAAGCCTCACAGGGAAAGAAACCAGGTTATTACTCTTTGGTGAAGTATTGTAGAGTTGTAAACAAGAAGCTACTTTTCTTTAGCATAGAATACCCTAAAGGTACCACCTTCTCCATTTGTAAAGATGTGGTACTAGGCTGGGACGTAACCATTGTCCGAATCTTTTGTCCGGTGACGATTTTCACCGATTTAAAAGAAAAAATGATCCCCATAACAAAGCATTGCTACCCACCGCGAATCATTGTGTTCTTCAAGAAATTCTGACACCGGTGCTTTCTCGATTCGATAACTGGAGACACACATTGGTCACGTTACGCCGATGATCCTGCGTAGGTCGATTTGTGCACAAGAAAGAGAATGTAAGGCAAGTCGTATACCAGCAGCTTTAAGTCCAGAGATTCTCTCTTAGTAGCTTGTAAAGAAGGGCGCATGTAGCACAGCAGTCGGATGCATCCGGCAACACTCATGCGATCGATCCCCGCGCCACTCGCCCACCAAGCATTCCATCCCTGCAGGGCTAGCAAATTGGAACCAGTCTTGTCTGGGCACTGGATCTATACATCGGTAGGCCACCGCGAGTCATTGTAAAAGCCAGATATGCATTCAATCACACCAAACGATGCTTAATGAAGTCGAATGCATGGCTCATCTTTCAAGAATTGATCAACGCCGAGAGCTTTGTCTTTTTATACTTTGTATTGTAACGGTCTCAACAATATGTCGGCATTTATTGGCCTTTATTACTCTTGATCTCCAGCGGTGAGAGTGGGGCTTTCAAATAAAAATGAAGAACTCAGCAGCTTGTGCAAGGTGTGCTTAAATGGTGCTTCTCCATAAGAAAGGAACCAAACCACGAAGTACAGTGATGAGTGATAACATCGCGTGTATCAATGGACGATAATAATTCAATGAATGAAAATTTATAGAAGGAATGATATGACTTAACAATTCAAACTAGCAAAAATAGTGTGCAATATAGCAGAAAAACTGAAAAATAAAGATGGATTACCAGAAACATGTAATCTTAACAAACGATGCAACAATTTCGCAACCACGAAGCACTTGGTCAAGGAAACCAAACTATCCAGAAGGGAAGAGTGTAGAAGAAAATGAATACCACAGGGAAACGAAAGAAACAGTACACGTAGAAATAATGTCCAGAAAACAAACTAATTCAGAACTGCTTTAAAAAAAAGTTCCTAAACATAGTTTACGAAGTAAAATACTACCCTGATTCTGTTAAGATGACCAGAGTAATTTATCACAAAAATTTTGATCGGGTAAGAGATACGTTTTGACTAGAAAAGAAAACGAGAAAGGAAAAAAGAAACTCTAAGCAAAAAATTGAGTACTAAGGAATACATGAACGTAAAAGCGCCCATGGTTATGCACAACGAGATCCTTCGATTTCAAATCTATTTACAATACGATTAGGGAATGGGGAAAATGACGGTGTAACGCGATAATGAACAAGGGTATACCGACGTGAAGTTATGAGATCACCAGGGAAAGAACTTTAGCAAAAACAGACTTAGAAAGCATCCTTCATTTGCTGGAAAGGTCGCAACGCTAAGTCGACTGGAAGCTCGACATTGTATTTATGTAGATCCTCCAGTAATGTGTATAGCTCTTCGCATCCTAAATCCATAAAATATTAAAGCTAGAATGAAAAGTGGACGTTACATTAGTAGTAGCCATGTCAATATGTTCTACTAACTTTCCATTAATAAAATTTACAACATTTCTAGAATAGAAGTAGAAATAGAAAAGTTAGAATTAGAATTTACAACGGAATTCAGATTCACAACGCATGGTTGTTTATCTGCAAAGCTGTAACAGACAAAGTGACCCATACGCGTCTATAAAAACTTCTAGATTATTTTATAACAAACCCGCATACCACACAAGTTTAAAAAGCATAAAACTTAACGGTGCTGACAACTTTAAAGCAATTGCAAGATAGCATCCGATTTCTATACGTGCGGATGTGCCATGTATATTGAGTAGTGGGCTCTAGGCTTTGGAATGATCAATATATGTTTACTGCGCGTGTAACACAGTGGTTGGAGGACCTTTGGGGATCGATCCACGCGCCCCTGGCCCACCAAGCGTTCCGTCCCTCCAGGGTTCGGCAAATTGGTATCAGATTTGTCTAGGAGGATAGCAGCACTGGCTCAATACATCGGAGGGCCACCGCGAGTCATTGTAAAAGTCAGATATACACTCAACCACCTCCACCGATGCTTAGTGAAGTCGAATCCATGACGCATCCCTCAGGGATAGATCAACGCCGTGACCATTTTTAGCTTGTTATGTTTGTTGCGAAGCATAGGGTTTAAATGTCAAGAACAAGGATGGTAACGAGCAGAGAAGAATGGTGGTAAACATAGCGAGTAGCATAGACCAAAAAATCCCCAACATCAATCGCTCAATAGTTATGGTTGGTTCGATGGATACATAACTACTTCAAATTTCTCCTATTCGCTCTTATGTTCTACGCTATTGAGATGGAAGCCTCTTCGGAGCCCTTAAGGAAAGAAGGAACTCCTGCACAGGATGTAAATACCTTCCGAGATTTCACCTGAAGCAAAAAATTTCTAACTTCTAACTGCCTACTCTTTTTAACGGCAGGGTATACATTGTGAAATATAACTTCAATGATGCTGAGATATTTGCAAAACTCCGAACCGCAGGTGTATGCGGTGGGGAACGAACGCGCTAATGTCCTCTCCGCGGAGTAGCGCGTTCACCACCACACCACGCGGGTCTTTCGTTTCGCCTGTCTCTCAGCTACTTCTATCGATCTTTTTCCATCAGCAATCACCCGCCAGCGGAATTGATCTGGGGCGCCCAAATCGGCAGCGAACCCAGTTAAGCTGAGGCTGCAGTTATAACCACAATTAAGCTGGGTTAGAACGAAAGACCCGCATGGTATGGTGGTGAACACGCTACTCCCCGGAAAGGACAATAGCGCGTTCGTTCACCACCGCATACACCTGCGGTCCGGAGTTTTGCAAATATCTCAGCATCATTGAAGTTATATTTCACAAAAAAATTCTGTTCCACAAGTCGATGAAATACACGTACGTTTTCCATTCAATGTCATTGTTTCTATCACTATAGAACCTATAGCCCCACTGATCGAGTGACTCGAGCGGACGACAGGAAATCTTCCATTTCTCCCTGTCGCGTGCAAGAGTAGCACAAAGCGCTTCGCTAGCTCTAAGGACTCCTTGGGCCCTAAGTATTCCTTCCAGGATTGTCAAGAAGAACTCTGACTATCGGGTCGCTGGTTTTCCTGCTGACTATTTAATATCTTGGGGAATCCAGTCACTAACGGCTCCTCTCCACCGGTTTTCATTCAGGTGGATTTCTTGTGACATTCACCAAGTTTTCGACACTGGCGTATCGAACGGTGGTTCCGATCGTTGATCGTTGACGTAGATCGAAGCTTCAGAACCCTGCTCTTAAATGCTTCATACGAGACACTCTTGACATTGGCGTTCAACAACGCCGAGTGATCTATAAGGCAGGAATAATAGTAAAACCAAAAAGGTGGGCAACGAATCACAGGAATCAAAGGCATCATTTCTATAATGTTAGTAAATGGACAGTAGGAACGAGTACTAACTGATTTCGACATCGCTTGTGGACAGATTAGGCTATGGCTGAGAAAGAGAAAAACATTGCTTAAGAAAACTGATTAGTTCCCGAAGCTCTACTCGCACCCGGCTGAATGGACACCTCAGATGCTTCAGCCGCTCAACGTAGAAAACAACGCACCAAAAACTAGCTTGATTCTCAAATAACGGGATATCAACAAAATATTTTAACTTATTATTAACTGCCCACTCTTTTTTTAATTGCAGGGTATGTTACGAAATATAACTTCAACCATGCTGAGATAATTGCAAAACCTTGGACCGCAGGTGTCCGTGGTGGGGAATGAACGCGTTTTCACCCTTTCCGAAAACTAACACAATCACCACCACACCATGTGGGTCCTTCGTTTCGCCTGTCTCTCAGCCAGTTCTATCAAGTGTTAATTGCTGATTTGGACTCCTCAGATTAATCCCACTGACGGGTGAATGCTGATGGCACTGATCAATAGAACTAGCTCAGAGACAGGAGAAACGAAGGACCTGCATGACGTGGTGGTGAATGCGTTAACCTTCGGAAAGGGTGATAACGCGTTCATTCCCCACCACGGACACCTGCGGTCCGGAGTTTTGCAAATATCTCAGCATCATTGATGTTACCAACAAAACAGTGCGTTATTATTAGCACGAACATACCTGTCCTTGCTACATAGCTCCAGCTATTGTAACACATTTCCACGACATGGCGAGATCGAAAAATTATCCTGAAAACGGAAGGCGTTAAAAAATAAAACAAAATAAGCTCCCAAGTGATATGTGCACACCTTAGCCATGCTGGAAGTTTCTTCTCATTCATTGCAGCAGAAACAAAAGCCTTCCATTGTGCGTCTTTCGATCTGCGTAGACGAGCATGTGAAGAAACAATGTTTTCGATAGTGGTTAACAACACCTTGAAAATCAGCGGCGTCACCCCAAATCCCCGAATTTTCCCCCAAAAATTCATTTGGAGTGACAATTAAGATCCTAACCTGCTTCGAAGTAATACTCTTCCCAGCTACATTCTCTAGCTTAAACGACTGACTAAGTTTTCGCACAGGTACTTCGCTAAGATCCCGACCATTTCTTGATCCGTAGAAAAACAATACCACATCCCATATATGTTGTAACAGAGTGGCTTTATGAGAATCTACTTAGAAAACCATTAGAATTATCAATAAAGGAAACATGATAGGGCGAATTTTCAAAATATATCCTACATTTGGTGCCATTTCTTGACGCGAAGCAACCCAATCCGAGAGATGACGGGAGAGACCGCTGCGTTAGCGTTTCCCTAAGCATACCATGCTCTAGCAGTGCTTTCAATGATGGGCACAATTGTCGTCGTACAACAGAAACAACTTCCTCTTCCGATCTTTCGAAGACCTCCTAAAGGGTAAAGGATAAAGGACCACCTAAATCAGATTGAAATCACCATAAACCACACTACTCGCTGACGATTCAGCTATATATATATCAAAAATATCAACAACGAGAACAACACTTACATCATTAAGAACGTCCATCTCCTGTATTTCTCTCTTTTTGGACGTCCCTTCAATGCTTAACAGAGTGTACTTCTCCAAAACCTGTTGTGTAGCATCAACAGCTAGTTGTAGTCTAGCTCGCTCGTCACTGACATAATCCCAAAACATTACAGTAATTTGGATGATTTGCACTCCAAGTGGTATACAAGCAATGAATCGGCAGAAAAGTTATTCCAACTGCAGTAGTTAACAAATATTACCCATAATGATTCCCCTGCAATGTATTCTTAAGCTGATTCTTCTGAAAACGTTGCACAGAGCAGCCTACCAAACCAAAAAACGAAGAAGACTTGGCTTTGTTCGTAGTAAACTGAGACGATGCAATTGCCTAAAATTTTAACTACGTGCATAGAACTGAGTTATTCCACGACTTCGGGAAGCGTCTCTAAACTAACCTTCGTCGGCGAATTTTGCTGAGAACTATTTTCTCTTCGCAAGTAGCTCACGAAGCGCTCCAGGTCAACTATTTGCGTTTGTAGTTGTTCAACGAGTTGTTGCTTCTCTTTGAAAGGATTTATAAGCTAAAAACCTAACTATGCAAGCTATCCTAAAGGCTTTACAACAACAAAACAGCAAAGAAAAACTGAAAACACTGTGAATTGAGGCACCTGTTTTAGAGCTTGATCAACATGCTTCTGGATATCCGGAAGCGACATTTTATCCAGCTCTAAATTCAGCGACATTTTTGAGTGCAGCTCGTCCAACACAGCTTTCTGAACGAAAAGATAATATTCTAGAGGTAAACCACTACCATATCATTAACAAGCTTATAAGTTCGCCTGAAAAAACACATTCACCTGCTTCTGAATGATTAGTGTGCTCGGCATATCGCCTTCGCCATTTTCATAAGCTATTCTTTCCAAATCCTCAAGTTGCTCCCGCAGCTGTTTCAAGAGTTCGCTTTGCCTTAAAGACACACCATTGTATATAGAAATAAAATTACGGTGACTTCAAACATACTCACTCATAATGTGAATAACTTTCCCAACGGTTCACCGCATCATCGCAGCTAAGTGGTGTTCCTGGGTGTCGGGATGCGATGTACAGCGGTGGGATTCATCCCCACAACAAGGTCTCTCAGGTTGAGAAACAGCCCGGCGTTTCCTCTAGGAAGCCCAGCCAAGAGTAAACCACTACCAGGACCCACTACCGTTCTGGTAGCAAACTAGGCGCATGGTGGCAAATTTCCCTCTGATCCACAACGGCAGCGGCTGCCTGTGGTGATGACGACCTGAGGCATACTGGCTAGGCTGACTTCGGCACTCCAGGGAACCACAGTGGCTAAACCAGCAAAACTCCGAAGCAGTGGAAATTATTCTGGAGCCATCACAACCAGCGAAGACGGGCCATACAAGAATCCAAGTTTCCAAGTAATATGAATAAGAATAAAGTGGAAAAGGCGAGGAGTGTAAACAAAGAAACTAAGACCATACCATTTGCCATTACGCATACCTTTGCTTTTGTATCTCTAAAACCTCTCCGAATTCAGTTTGACTCCTTAGTTTTTTCAATTCATTCATATCAGCACATCCTTTGAAGGCAAAATCTTGTAGATTCTTCAGAAGAACCTGAATGCAGTAAATTCGACATATAACCATAGATATTAGTCCTGTAAGTTGACTAAGCAGACACTCATATTTCACAAAGAAATAATTGCGTAAAAAATCTTAGTAATGATTATAATAGAAGGATAAACTATCGGCGTTGATCAATCCCTGAGGGATGCACCATGCATTCGACTTCATTAAGCATCGCTGGAGGTGACTGAATTCATATCTGGCTTTTACAATGACTCGTGGTGGCCTTCCGATTTATCGAACCAGTGCTACTATCCTCCCAGAGAAGACTGGTACCAATCTGCCGACGCTGGAGGAATGGAGGACTTGGTGAGCCTTGGGGGCCGCGATCGACCCCGTGTGTATTGCAGGGCGCCTCCAACCACTGAGCCACATGCGTTCCTTTTCAATGGCTATGTTATGAGCAAACAAAATAATTATATAAAATGAACCTAACCTCCCTGTCTTCCCCTTCAGCTTCCGATATTTGCTTCAAGCGAAACTGAACTTGCGCAAAGTGCGAACTCAGCGAAAATAAGGAATTGTTTAACCTCTCCTGTTCTTCTTCCAGTTGTTGGACACGTAAAGCATCATTCAAACTAAAACAGTCTCTGTACATCACAACTTTTGAACATGTCCTATTTTCAGCTGAAAATCATACTCAGAATTGAAACAAACCTCGAGCAGTTATCGTCACTGGATGATAATCTTGCTGATCGCCAGTCCGTATCCGAGGTGACCTCGGCATCTGAAAGCTTCCCCAGGTTTCAAAAAATGACCTTTCTCATGAAGAACTTCTGATATTCATGGATTATGGATTCATAGATATGGATTGGATATTCATGTTTTGATGATGAATCATAACAGATTACTCACTGGGAATGATTTCATATCACACGTTCGACTGAACTTAAATGCCCTGAGCAGCTAGTAAGTTGCGATTAAAGTATGTTAACTAGTTAACTACGGTCTCTTTAAGTTATACTTGCAGGAATTACGTCAAGTATAGATCATTCATCAAGCAGATCTTATTTAAAATGTTACAAAAGTCTCGTTAGGAAATCACTAACCATCATCTATACTATGTTCAGGGTTCATACTATTGATTGATTGATCTAATTCAGCAAGGCAATCCACTTCATTGGTTTCTGTCATCATAGTACTTCTAAAAGCAGTTAACCGTTAGAACTTCACAGAATTAACGCAGTCGATATAAAATTTGTAAATGTCACGATAAGAGATGAGGTGGATAGCGGAGTGGCCAGTGATCCAGTCCATCAGTGAACAAGGCGCCAGTTCGACTCCTCCACCCAACGCTCTCTTCGAATTCACATGGGAAACGCTCTGGCACGGCTAACACGTAGATTTTCAGGATAGTGGACTTGACCAGCATTCTACGAGATTCATAAAGAAGACCTAGGCCGAAGCCTCATCCGAAAGGACATGCTAAGCGTTGGGAAATCTTTGTGGACTATGAATGCGAGGAGAGCGAATCGAATGCAAGTGCTGGGATCCGCACAGCGGACGTGATGATGGGTCATATAAAGAGATAAAGTAATGATAAGGAATCATAAATGGAGATCGCAAGAACACATATCGATCGGTGAGGGTGAACCGATTTGTGGATAGATCAAGCGCTAACGATGACGAATACCGAACTCACATCGTCACATTTGTCGCAAGCCCAACGAGAACGACGGCGACGACGACCACCACCAACACGTATCGATCGACGACCGACTGCGCCATGACGGAACACCTACGGCATTCTCGGCAACTGCACTCTTCCCGCGTAAGCGCTTAGCGCTCTTATTTCGCTAAATACGAAAGAAACGCTTAAGATCGCTTAATGTTAGGTATCAAATTCCATTTCGTCATCATTTCGATTAAATTCGTTCGAATACAAAGCTAGAATCTTCGGTGTGGTTACTACTAATACAATTTTACGTCAGTACAAGTAACGCTCTTCATCATAGGAGTTCTCCATGCACAGTTAAAGACACTAGTTATAAGGTAATTGTGATTTCCAACGCTAAGCGATAATTAGGGATCTGGAGATTTTTTCTAATCAGAGTGTTTTCCATAATTACTAGGATTTTCTTCCCACTACGTTAGGTACTTTATGTCTATAAGTAATGCTTGGATAATTTAAGGACGTACTAACGTCTCACTATCACTTGCTTCGACCTCCCTTCTTCGTAGTTGATCGTTTCTTCTATGGCTACGAGGTCAGCCAATTGATAGTAGACTTGTTAGGGAAACGTGAAACACCGGCATTCGTACATCATTTTGTCCCTAGAGGTTTTATCATGGAAAACCAATCCCAGTGGTTTGCTGACATAGAGAATTTGCCAATGGAAGGTCGTTATGCTTCTTCGATTACCATCCATGTAGAAAAAGCTAGGTGGGCAGGATGTTATTCTTCTGAATGACAGTCATTGGAGAAGGTCCGTCACCGACGAATTCCCACAGAATATCAAACATCCAAGTGATGGTCAGCTTTTTCGTACGAATATCCTGAACAAAGAGAAAGTATGATACTCGTTGTGTCCGCTCGGTAGAGCAGCACTTTATACATGAACGAAGAGAACCATTTCTGGCGGATGCTCGAAGTCACCCGACGTTCAACGAGCAGATTGCTGAGATATGTGGTGATGGACAAACTTGTATTTTCTACTATTTCTGAAAACCTTAGTAATTCCGACGACCGTCTTTCTATTGACCTTGACATTGATCCAGCAATCTTGGTATAATCACAAAACCTTAGTTTATCATTTTCTGTTTTTGTTTATTGAGGTGTTTGGCTGGGTAGGTTGCAGTCAACTTAACCTACCGAAGCGTCAGTTTTTCCTATCAAAACTGTTTCTTTCTGAGATTGACTCCCTTTTTCTTGTAAATTATGCAATTTTCGAGAACAAATTCGAAAGGGGGTCGAAAATATTTTTCTTCGAACCTGCTTTTCTTCCGTCTTTAACGGATTCTTTAGTACTGAAATATTCTGTCTTAGCATATTGCATCGATTTTAGCACATCCTGTAATCTGGTTAGTATGGAATGCTACCACAACCACGGAAATTGTGTAGCCAGGAGAAAGTCGATGGTTGATATGGATGTTTTACAAGCTTAATGAACATACCACCGTGTCTTGTTGGTCTCAAGGTTACATTGCTCCTCTGGGTCATTTGCAATGTTGTAATACATCGAGTCTTCAGGAAAACCCAGTTAGAAAGTCTCTTCAGCAAGGTTCGGCTTAATATTGAGTATACTGATATAGGAGTAGGAAACTTCCTTTAGCTGTTTCGTAGAAACTCCGTATGTCTTTTGAAGAGGTCGAAATCCTAGTTGACGTTTCGCTAGCATGGTTCACAGTACACGAATTGTTAGGTAGCTGGAGAACCGTGCATCTCTTGGTTAGTTAGCGCTTCTCGAATACACCTACCTAAAATTGACTGTAGTCTTTCTGTCTTATATTGCTCTTCTTTTAAGTAGCACTGAACGAATATCTTGTATATGTGCTACACATTTTGACGATCCTAAGCAATCTAGCCACTTTTAATCGTTATACTTTGAACCATGCACTACTTATTAACCAAGTGCACTTTTCGCCATGTTATTCTTTTCCCTAGCTTGTTATGTTTTCCGAGTCTGTTTCACTGGTGAAGAAAGGGTTTATGAAAATGACATGTAAGGGTTTGAATAGGAACCGCTCAAACAGGGGATGAATTTGTCGACTACAGCGGAGTAATGCCATTGTATTGTGAAATCGATGTCGGGAAAAAATTTGTACAAATATGAAACATCTGTGGCCGAAACAACAGATGTTTAGTGTTAAACTTCCAAACCTTGGCTAAGAAGTAATGGCGAAATGGTGGCATATCAACGAAGTGGACAAGCTTACACATTGGACCAAAACTGAAGGAAAAATGGGACCTTCATATACTTTCATAGGCCTTATGAAGGTATTATGTTGTGAAGGTTGAATTTTTAGTTGAACTCAATTTAATCCTTAGACATCGTCCTGAATATTTTAGATGCTGTGAATACGAGATTAATGTATAGTAAGCACCTTTTTACTTACTGCTTATTTTCCATGGCAAGGTATTATGTGAAGTACAACGGTAAAGACGCCGAGATGTTTGCAATGCTCCAGGGTGCTGGTGTATGCGGTGGAGGCCGAACATTCTATTACCCTTTCCGGGAGCTAACGCGTTCACGACCACACCATGGGAGTCCTTCGTTTCGCCTGTCTCTTAGCCGAGTTTTAACCTATAGGTGCTATCAGCAATCACCCGTCAATGGGTTAATTAGTTTTTAATGTATGTTCAGTAAGCAGGTTTTTTTTATCATTTGTATAGCTTTTTTAGTACATGAGAACGATTTTCGAGAATATTTACTGTTTAGTGGTGGTTAATTTCTGTCGCAGTTATGTCATAATATTCGCTAGATACATTAGTTTATTGTTGTTTAAAATTTCTTCTGACAGAGAAAACATGTTTGCAAATCGCAAGCACTCCATGAGACGAGCCAATAACGTCCATTTTCTGGATAATGCTGTTCAAAAACATATGTGCGATCGGTAATTTAGCAGACTAAGTTAAAGTATACTCGATTCTCTTCGTACTACTTAAGTCATAACGCCCCGTATGGACACTATGACGTCTATAATGGTTTGAACTAAACGACGCGCTAGCTCCTGGAAAACGTAATAGCGCGTTCGTTCCCCACCGCAGACACTTGTGTTCCGGAGTTTTGCAAATATCTTAGCATCATTGTGATTATTTCTTTTTACTGTGAAAAAACCAGAAAGTCGGCAGCTGACTAGAAATTGGGCGCGTTTGATTCATGCAGCCCACGCTAGACACCGCCGGGAAGATAGGGGGGTTAAGACATTGTGCTGTTTCATCATAAATAGAGTGAAAAATCTTTTTTTTGCGTGTTTTCCACTTTCTAAATATAATTTCGAGTCATATACGGATCTTGAACCTGGAAAATTTTGAATATGCCACTTTTTGAAGCATATCGATCGTTGTATATGTAGGAGCCGAACCCTGTAGACAACGCAGTTTCAAGCCGTCAGATGATGATCTTAATGTAGTCGTGCGATGGTACGAGTGTAGTGTTGTCTGTTGCTTGACTCTATAGAATTGACGGTCCTGTTGTGTTCTTAACCCCTAAGGTGCTCTAGTTATTGAAGAATAATTTTTTTTTCTACTATCAAAAAACCAGACAGTCCGCATCCGACGAAAATTGAGCGTAAAACTGCACGTATTTGATTCAAGCAACCCACTCTAGACACCGCTAGGAAATTAGGGGATTAAGACATTGTGCTGTTTCATCACAAATAGTGTGAAAAGTCGTTTTATTGTGTGTTTCTCACTTTTTTTAAATGTGATTTTGAGTCATAGACAGATTTTGAACCTGCATATCGATCGATACATATGTAGGAACTGAACCATGTAGACAACACAGTTTCAAGCCGTCAGATGATAATCTTAATTTAGTCGTGTGACGGTACGAATGTAGTGTTATCTGTTGCTTGACACTATAGAATTCCCAGAATTGCTCCATTTATCTTTGTTCATAAAGTGTTTACATGCTTCTTTTCTTCGGTTAAAATCGTGTTTCCTTTGGTTTTTTTTTCACCGTTGACTATTCTATTGTCTTCCATATGTTATAACTTAAATTAATTAGTGCTAATTTACTTTGCGGTATTGATTTTGCTAAGATATGCCGTCTGTCAAGTAAAACAGTTAGTGTTTATGTTCTTTGAGAAAAATTTGATCACTTGTTCTACAGGTGTTTCATCGATTTATAAGTGTCATAATGAAGGTGGATCCTGACGGCCTTCTTGCATCTCTGATCAAATCACCGATTCTTGTGAATCCTTATTCTGCCATTGAGAATCAATTAATAAAGAAGGCGGCATATGTGCAGTCAAGAGTCGTAAGCGCTGATAGTCCCTCTTGGTGAAGTACGTCATTCGGTTATTGTTTTATTATTTATAGGAGAAATTACAACAATACAATGATCTGGCTCTCGCTGGCACTCAGCTAACTCCTATTCAGGACGATGCAAGAACGAAGCTTGATGAGGTGGTGAAACATCAGAATTACGTGAAGGTTTGTGAGTTTTAAGTTTCGTTTTGAATAAAAGAAGTGTGGATGTGAAGTTGCTGTTCGGAATAGTCGGACTCCCCAAATTCGTGCAGGGTATTACGAAGTATATTTATTTATATGTTCTTATGATCTGATCTTGTTGAGCCGATGTAATGTTGGTGTAAGTTGTTGCTGTTGTTGTGTTGTTGTTATTGTTATTGTTGTCGTTGTGGTTCTACTTGAGTACCCCATTCGTAGTAGCACGGCTCTGAGGAAGGCGAAATCACCGAAAGATCACCCATCGACGAACAACAACAATAACAACAGCATTAACAAAAACAACGACAACTTATACCAACTTTGCACCAGCTCAACAAGATCAGTTCATAACAACATACTTACTTGATGTTTGAATAACCCGTCCTCACTGGTTGTGGGGGCCCTAGCATAATCTCCATTTTTTGGAGATTTGCTGGTTAAGCCATTATGATTCCCTGGAGTCCGGAGGTGAGCCTGGCCAAAGTCTGCTCCAGGGCTTCACCACCACAGACAGTCGCAGCCCTTGTGGATCAGAGGGAGATTTGCCACCATGCGACTTTAATACCAGGATCCTGGTATTAGTTTACTTTTAGCTAGACTTCCTGATGGAAACACCGGACTCCTTCTCAGCTTGGAAGACCCTGCCATGGGATGAATCCCGCGCGGTAAATCGCAGTCCGACACCCAGGAACTCCGCCCAACCACGATGAGGCGGTAAATCATGGGGAAGTCATAAGATCATATGAAGAAATATATCGATTATTTATGCTGAGGTATATAGAGAGTTGATTTTTTGTATTACTGAGTGGCTCGTTGGCCACAGATCAATCCTGAATTAGAATTTTTTCCTCATCATTGCAGTACATTCATTATCCATTCAATCATTTGCATTGGGAGTAGCAAAACTGCTCAATAGACGCGTCCATTGTTAAAATAATTTATTGATTTACCATACATATTATAAGGATATGAGATTAAGAGGTTTTTGAAAGGCTCGAGGATATCTCAAGGTAAGGGGTACAGTTACATTGTATAGATAAATTGTTAGGGGTGGATAGCACAGTGGTAGTGATGTGCGTCATCATGGACATGGTGCTAGTTCGACTCCATTTGGGCCAACCATGCCTGTCATCCCTCCAGGGTCGGGAAATTGTTACCGGACTTGTCCGGAAAAGATTCCCTCTATGCAATCCAAATGAGGACGCTCCAACTCGGCGATTCTCAGGACTCCAGGGAAAATTGCTCGACCAGCATTCTACTACATTCAAGATGAAATGAAAATCTTCAAGCAGCAGCTGAAGCCACATGTAAGAAGTTAGAAGATCTTCGTTTTTTTGAAATTTTTTTCATTTCGAATTTCGATGATCTTCGGTGACAATGGGTGCGAGGAAACGAATCGAATGTGAGTAGTGCTGGGATCAGCACGGTGGACGTGAAGACGGGTCGTGTAAAATAAAAAAAAGAGATAAATTGTCAAATGCATTCTTAAGTTGTTTTAGCATCTTACTTCTATCGTACAACGAGACCGTCAACTTTTCGAGAAGTCAGTCAAGGCGGCGGATATTCTGCTCACCCAAAAGGTTATTCTTTGTTTTGCCTTTCTTCACGCATTTCATTATGGTCATCTTAAAGCAAAAAACATCGTTGATGTCTCCGTTTGTTCGGTGATGTCTCGGTAGACGTATAGACTTGCTTTTTTGTGGTTTTATTACTTATGGCTTGCGTTTGCAATACTGAATATTATGAGGTTCCATCAGTTTCTGCACAAACTGGACATATAGACGCTTTTGCTCTGGAGTTTAGTAGGCCGTATGCAGGGTTTACTTTACTCTTCAATAATCTGTAAAGTAAAAGTATGCTGAATATTGATGAAATGATTTCTGTTTTGTCGTAAAATATATAGATTTTCCATGCTTTTGCTACACTTCTTGAACAGACTTGTTTCTTGGAAGTTTTGTTTCAGTATCATAGCTTAGTCACTTTGGTGGTTGGAGCAGTCATCTCACATGCTGAAGAATTAGCTTCATCGGTTTTGTTTGGATTAGGAAGACTTTCTATAGATTGTTTTGATGAAATAGTATGTTTTGCTCATAGGTACCCCGTCGGACATTCTCGATAGAAGAAAGGTTTGATACGTTGTTATTAAGTACCAAATCATCCTTTTTTCTGTTTTCTCATGAGCGTTTTCTTTTTAGTTTCTTTATTTGTGGGTGTCTGTTATATTAGTTGACCTGGTGTTGTCTTCTCAACGATGAACTCATGGGAGTTCGTCGTAGTATGACTTTCAGGGAAGCTAGCGATGTGTCAGCAAAGCTAGACGAGGAAAACAAAGTTAGGCCTCAGAATAAGTGGGCTGTTGGATTTTGTATTTAAGGAACTTGTTTATGTTTAAAAAGGGCGCTGCCAAAAGCTCGAATGTGTCGAAGCCAACGAGAGTTTTCTTTTGAATATGTCTAGCCACACACTTCATTTTACACGTATATAGTGAATAATAACACCTCTGAGTATTTCTAAACGTTATCAGGAACAAGGAAAAGTTCAGTTAACTTCGTCTTTTTTTTATTTGAATCGTAAGTTTTCTTTTTTCTAGTTCGAGACATTTGTTACGTCTAGTAAAAAATACTTCTCGCCAACACGGCAACGCTACAGTAATATATGGTCGCTATTGTAGTTTCTATTATACTATAACTACATGTTCCCTTTTTCTGAATTTCTTGGTAATGCAGTTCTGAAGACCATCTGATCTATTTTCAACAAACCGTTTTATCAGAATTATTATTGTTGTCAACATAGAAAGTACTAAATGTTCTGCTCTTTTAGCTCGATTCTTTTCGAAGCACCACAATCTCTCAGACGAATGTACATGGCGAAATCATTAATCGGCTTCTCCATCCACCAACACTAGCAGCGTTTCTTACTGGAACGAAAGGTGCTATTGTGAGTTTCTATGATTTCATGATTTCATTCAGCTGTAATAATGATGATCTGGACCTTTTTTGCCTCAGAAGGTAACAAAGGAAGAAGTTAATGCTCTTTCTCGTTTGAAATCGGCCTTCTTTCCATCGTTTGATGATTGTGCTTCTGTGGAAGAGTTGGAGGAGAGAGCTGCCGGTGCTGCCATGATCGTGTCACATATTTTTTCCGAAGCACCTCATGTTGTTGATGAAGAGACGGGTTTAAATGGTACGTTGTAGTTCTTAATTATTGTCCACATATTCAAAGTGCTCTTGAACAGAATCGGAACGGTGTTACCACTATAGTAGTTAATTGTATGAGGCATTTTAACTGCCGTTATCTCTATAGAGACTACTTGTTTAGTTATTTTAACGCATAGGACTCTTTCCAACACGTCTTATAATCAATCTATAGCTTATTCAACACGGATCTTTTGGCGGTCATCGACGGAGAACAACTCTATTTTGCACTTACAATTGTACGAAAAACCTTTTTTCGGATGAGGGAGTAATTTGATATCAAGTAGACTGTTATTTCAATTCTAACCGCTGTAGTAAATCATAGTTGTCCCATGGAATGGCCTAATGTAAGAAATAAAGTAGTGGACTCAACATGGATTGCAAAGTGCTTCCAAATAATGGCAGTACTGTTTGAAAAAACGGGAGGTCCGTAACGACATAAAGTTATTCATAGTCCTCGTCGCGAAGGTGTTCAAGAAGCACATTAACCCATTCACGAAAATTGTATTTTCTTTCGGTTACGTACTTTCTGGTTTTTTGACAGTGCAAATCTTTTCAACAGCTAGAGGAGTTGAGGAATTGTGGACATAACACGTCTTGGAAGACACTTTACTTTGTCGTTTTATGGTTATGATTGATATGGATGCTACTATTTACTATGCTTCACTGTGGTTCAGTATGCAAATACCTTACTGCCTAGCACTTGGGAGTATTTTAAACGGTATGTTCAGTCTAGGAGCTCATGTAGCACAATGGCCGGAGGCGCCCTGCAATACACATGGTGTCGATCCGCTCGCCCAAGGCTCACCACACCTTTCATCCCACCGTAGTCGACAAAACAGATTTGTCTGGAAGGATAGCATCACTTTCTTGATACATCGGTAGGGCCGCCGCGAGTCATTATAAAGGCCAGATATGTATTCAGTCACCTCCATCTCAGTCAATGTCCAATGAAGTCGGATCCGTGGCGCATGACTCAGAGACTGCTCAGCGCCAATAACTTTATCCATTATCCTTTATGTTCAGTCTACTTCAGTGTTTCTTGTATCTGCACATCTCATGCATTAATCATAGTATTGCCAGTTAAATTGCCGGTCAAATAGTCTTTTCAAAAGAAGAGTTTTTTGTAAGTCATTAAGTGCAGAGAAAGCTTTTTCTGGTCCCACCCTTCTGTTTCGATGTGCTTTCGGTTAGCTATCGAATGAATGTATATAGTTTGGTTAAAAAAAAAAAGTTCTAGAATCCGTTGAACTGAAAATAGGCACCGTAGTGTCGACAGTCTCGCGAGCGGGTTAAAGTGTTTGTGAAAAACAAAAGTTCTTATTTCGATCATCTTACTTGAACTTCGTTTTCATTAAATTCATAGATCCTTACTTGCTAAAGAAAATGGAATTTCTTTCTGTTGTATTAAAATCGCCGTGAGAGCTCTTTTACGTCGAAATCGAGTGTTTAGTCGTAGAAAATAATTAGGTAGGAGTATAAATTGAGGTTTGTATGGTTGAAGATGGGGCTGAAAAAGCCAATAAGTACTCGTACAAGAGTAAATTGAAGGTTCGAATTGTTTCAGTTTTCTTTCGTCGATAACATTTTTTTAGGGAAAGAGGTTTTTGCTCTGCTCAATAGTATCAAAAATTGCGGCTTTTTTTCTGGGAAATGCATGAGTTTGGTAAATGGTGCTGACGGGTCTGTTGCGGAAGCCTCAGACACGAACTCGCCATCGGCAACATCAACCGATTCGGTAGACGATGATACCAACGAAGAGACTTCGTTTCCGTTGGTTTCTGAAAGCACCAACACTGAAAAAAGCAATGGTGCAGACTACGCAAATCTGGATGACCTCAAAAACTTGGACAACTCCGTTGCTACCGAAGAAGTGGGAAAGCAAACTATTTTATCTTCCTCTTGGAAATCCGAAGAGAAAGTTGATGATGGTAAGTTTAATAATTTATTAATTACGATTATTTTTTTCTTAGAGCATTGTGTGTTGTCATTCTTTTCTTTCGAGAAGTCCTTGCGTACTTTCTTCAGAAAAATGTTTTTAAAGTTTAGTAATCGTAAACAAGTACATGGTTTCTAATTTTTGAGGATCAAGAATGCAGGTTTTGAGTATTGCATTACTGGTTCGCAGAAACCGTGATCCACTGTATCATTCTGCAGTTGTTCAGTTATTAAAAATTCAGCGAATTTCTGTTCTGCTAATGAATCTGATTCGTTCAATGGTACAGCCACACAGTTTTCGGACATGCAGTCAATTGCTGTGAAAGAAATGAAGGAAAAGTCTGACTACGGGCAAAAGAAGGTATGGGTATGAAGATGAAGACATTTGTTCCTTACCAGAACACTACATTGTACTGATGGCAGTTTGATAGAAAACAAGAGGATACGGTGTACTTGATGTGCTCTTTCCTCGCATATATTCCACTTTCTGCATTGCTTCTTAGCGGGCAACCTTCATGTTTCCTAGCAGACAACCTTCACGCCTGTGTATTTTTTAGAGAGCTAAAGCCAACTATAATGGTGAACGGCTGGAATATGGTCGCTACACTTCGAGGCATTTTAGTCAGCCATGGGATCGTCGATATCATGATCGTACTTATAATGGAAAGGGTTATCGCTACACTCCAGGTGAGAATCATCTCCCACAGAGCCTCATTAAGTGAAGACTACGTCACTAACTCCAAAGAACTGCTTGGTTTTGCAGAGAACGGTGAACAGCAAGCAGCTAAGAAACTTGGCTCTATGAGCGTCAACCCAGAATCAGGAGATGGTCAGTGGAAACAACGCGATCGTCGTTTTCCCAAGAACCGAGGCGGCCTGTCTTACAAGGATGGTAGATCTGTGTCTTACGAAGGTCCACCACTGCAACATCATAAGGAGACGGACAACAGCGCCCACTGTTCTCGCCAGAACATGGTTCGATATGAGATAAAGCCTTCAGTTCCTTTGAACCGCGAACCTGTTATAAACCGCCGTCCTCCACCTGCCACAGTTGGCTTTATCTTTGCAGACAGACGCTAAGCTACTGCTTCATAGGCAACATCCATTTTTTCGTGTGTGTTTATTTGTTTGTTGTTTCCGCGAAACGCTTGCTCTTTTCCAGCTGGTCATTATTGTTCGTTAGACTTCCGAAACACTTCAATGCACGGTGCAAGCGATTCAAGATGACTTTTTCTTGTAATTCACATACGTTTTTCCTTCATTTTGGCTCTTTTTTGCGAAGTTTTTATGAAATAGTTTCTTCTTGCGACATGTTCTATGGGTTTAGTGATCTTTTACTACGAAGCTCGCCTATGCTGTATTATTACGGAGTAAATTTCTACGTATTGACAAGTGTCATATGCTTTATGCTTTGGTGAACTTTTTTATCTATCAACCAAATCGAATAGAAACTTTCAGGAAGTTCTTCAAATGTTGGACAGCGTGCCATGTTTGCTATTTATATGCTCTATATCGCGTGTAGTCGCATTTAACCATTAAGTAAACCAAACTAAAAGAGATGGTTTCGATTTTGGCTCACCAGATCAATCCCGCTGACGGCAGAGATCGATAGAACTAGCTGAGAGACAGGCGAAACGGAGGACCCGCATGGTGTGGTGGTGAACGCATAGCCCTCGAAAAGGACAATAGCGCGTTCGTTCCCCACCGCGTACACCTGCGGTCCGGAGTTTTGCAAATATCTCAGCGTCGTTGAAGTTATATTTCCCATTATGCCCTGCCATTAAAAATAGTAGGCAGTAAATAAAACGGTTAAGATTGTGATTAAAAGAGAAAGTGTCTATATCTGCTCATAATGGGCTCAGCTTTCTCTGGACATATCAAGAACACATTTTTTAGATATTTCGTGTGAGACCCTTTATTCCCATTTATTCTTGCAGCTGGCTACCCATTCCGTTGTTCACAAGATTTTACCATAGTGGTTCGTTATATTCATTGGTTCTTTTGTGGAGTCTTTCAGTGTTAGGCGTAAGACCCATTTTTTGACTTTCTTAAAAAGGAATGCAGAGCTTCAGATGTAGCTCCATGTTAGCCTGTTAGGAGTGAGCTTGCGGATGACTTCATCACTTTTGGATTCACACGATACCACGACAAGCACATGCCGGATTTCGACGGCCTTCGACAAATATCCAATCCTCAAGATCCGGTGCAATATATTATCGAAACAATTCATTAATAAAAGTTTAGCAAATCAGCGATAGGTGGACGAGAAGGACCATAGAACCTTTTCCAACAAACGGAAAATGGAGCTGTTTTCAATGAATGTCACTTAGTGGACGCCATTTAGTTGTATTCTCAAGTTGATAGGATACTAAGAAAAATTATGCAGAAGACATATATACTCACGGACAATCGTTTCGAAAGATCGAAACTAGTGAGAATTCGATGGAGCCAGTAGAATTTATGAAGGCGATTTGAGTATTGAAATAAGCATTTTGTTCAACTTTATGGCAGTGTTAGTGGAAAAATCATGTTGTATACGAAACAGTTCGAACTTTGAGACAGTTTTTCACTTTTCTTTTAGTTTTGAGCAGAAAAACATCTGTATGCCTGCCTCATCCAAGTTGTCAAATTTTTACATACTTGTATATTTGGATGGCCTATCTTTAATGGCCATACGGGTTCCAAAATAATTTCCATTCTCGGGAGATATGCTGGTTTAGCCATTACGCTTTCCTGGAGTCCCGACGTCAGCTTAGCCACAGCCTTCCTCAGGTTGTGCCCGCCATAGGCACTCTCCAGCCTTGTGGATCAGAGGAGGATTTGCCACCGTGCAACTAGTCTGATACCAGGACGGTGGTGGATTCCGATATCGGTTTACTTTTAGCTGGGTTCCTGATGGAAACGCCGCACTCCCTCTCATCTTGGAAGCCCCTTCTGGGGGAATGAATCACCCGCTGTACATCGCAGTCCGACACCCAGGAACACCTCCCAGCCACGATGACGCGGTAAACCATTGGGAGGTTAACAAGTTTTACATGAATTAACACATTGACGACCACTGTCGATTCCATAGGCGTTAGAAATAAAAATAGATGCAAAAAAAGGTATTTTGTAGTTTATTCAGTCTGAAGAACAGCTTCTCACTAGTCACTTCTGATATTGGATCTATCGTAGACAAGCTGTCGATAGACACAAAAAAAGCAAAAAGTCTTTAAACCACTAGGCAAGCGTGACCCTTTTTCGGGTCGTGTGGTCTTCAGTGTTTTAGAAATGGTCAAGCTCGTTCAATGATAAACAACGCCAATGGTCAAGAAGCTAGTGAAAATCCACATTGAAATCGTTTATGTGACTTCCGAGTAAAGCTAGAGGAATACGGTTTTTAACACATCTCAGCACCATTGTGGTAATATCTCACAAAGTAGCCTACTATGGAAAAGAACTAATGTACAGTAAATGAAAGTTGAGCAGTCTTTAACAGCCTGGAAAGAAGATCACAATGTTTAACGTTTTGTTTTCTGCCTTCTATAATTTTTATGGCAGGTTACCAAGCGAAATACAACCACAACGTTGCTGAGATATTTACAAAACTCTGGACCGCAGGTGTCTATGGTGGGGAACGAACGCGCTATTATCCTTTCCGGGGAGTAACGCGTTCACCACCACACCATGCGGGTCCTTTGTTTCGCACGTCTCTCAGCGACGGGTGATTGCTGT